TGCTATTCAATACTAATATCAATAATTTTCTCTAATTTTCGATTCTTCGGATAATAAAAATGGAAAATTCCGATTTCTGTTATCGAGTTATTTACATCACAAGAATGACAGGTACACTTACTTAAATTTGAATTTAAAGAATAATTAAAGTCTAAATCAATTAAATCTATCTTGCATTAAAAAATATACATTTGTAACGACTTTGAACTGTTACCGCAGTTTTATATTTCAATTTTCTACGGCAAATTTACTCGAATGTTTTACACAGAATTAAAAACAAAATTTTGGTATAAATGTTAAATTTCTACAAATGTGTCTTTATAAATATTTTTTAAGGGTTCAAGCAGCAGCTTTTTCATCTTAAATGTAATTCTTAAACTTATACAGACAGATTGAATTTTTGTCTATACAGACAGTTTTGTCCTTACGAACAATTGATTTCCGTAACTCTGCACAGTTCACTACCCAGTGTATATCAATGCAAAGCACCCAGCGACAATCATGAATTTTTTTTATTTAAACCCAGAAATTAAGATTGCATTTTAAAAAAATGAGAATAAACCCTAATTTTTTTTACTACTTTTTAAACTTCAAAAAATATTACACTGATCTCCAAAACGCCCACAGACAAAATTTTCGGGTGATATGAAACACACTGTTTTCAAGAACCATCACATAATTTTTCAAGTGGTGTTTTTTGAAACCCGTGATTTTCGTTTTGTGGGGGCTTCGGGGAAATTTGCGTGGGGATTCTGGTCTGTGGGTGACTTAAAGCTGCATCGAAATTTTGTATACAGTCCGCCATACAAAATCGATAAAAATCTTGAATCGACATCCAACTCTGACTCGAATTGCGAAGCCACTGTCACTGGTTTCTTGAGCTCCTAAGAGTAACCCACCTTATTATTAACCGTTTTTCATTTATACCTTATAATATAGCATATCCAATTTTGATCCCTGGGTAGTTTGGGGTAGTCCTATAAACCGGTCCCTGATTCTTATAAATCAATGAAGATGATTTTTAAAATTCATTATTCTTGGACATCATTTTTAAATAAATCCAATTTTGTAGATTTTTTTTTAAGTTTGTGAAAAAAATTTATTTAAGACAACGAAATTAAAATTTTATAATTTTAAAAATTCATATAAAAGTGGATAAATTAACAGAAAAGCTTTCAAAAGTAAATTTCATAAATTTTTAAGTGTTTGAAAAAATTTCTCAACCCACTCCAACAAACAAAGCAGCAATTTTATTTAATTTTTACTTCTTTACAGCTCCATTTTATTCATAAAAGAATGAATGAATTAAGCCCACACGCGTGAATAAAAGTTGATGGAGATTATGGACGGTCCTTTGCTGCTCATGATGTGCTCAGTCATTTTTTAACTCCTCGTTCATCCTATTATCATCACCTCTTAATTAAGATGAGGATAAGTATATCAAGTTAATGAAAGCATTTCAAAAGATTAAAGGAATCATCCCATTAAGGTTAGTTATTTATTGCTTCGTTAGACCTTTGTGAAAATTGTGCATCAGCAAGTTTTTAAAAGTGATTTATTGCATTAAATTCCTAATGTGATTTTGTTCATTCATTGAATGTTCTAAAGGAGGATGTTGAGAATCACAAAGAAAATAAGATTTCAAGGGAAGTTCACAACAGATGAGGGGGTGTGCTTTCAATGCCAATATTTTAAATTCATCTCGAAAATTGTCATTCTTGGTTAAAACAAATTCTCCTGATAATCCTAAGTGAATGACCCTTTTATGAAATTTCACAAAAACTTTCTAGACATTAAATGCATACTGCATCAAAAACACATTTTCATACAAAGAACAAAGTTGAAATCCCAAAAAAAAACATCTCATTTGTTTGTGGCTTTAACGATAAATTTTTGTAAACATTTGATCCTACAATGATGAGATACGAAGGCATGCATCAAAACGTAACCACGTCATGTACTTAAAATATGTTAACAACATTAATTTTTCTCGGCAGTAAAAAGAAGAGAACTTTTTCGTTTTATTTCAATGTTAATTTTTATCATCTTGTAAATTGCGATATTCTAATGAGATATTTTAAACTTTTTCCTTTCTCATGCTCACATGTTATGCATATATTAATATGTGCTCCATTAAGCTATGGTTATAATGAACCTTTGCAATAAAACTCTTCCTCTTCCTCACTTGCTATTATATTTTAACTTACACGCAAAAGCGTGTAAGTTATTAGTTTCACAAAAACACATTTTTTTAATACAGTCTGAAGGACTCAGTTTCAAAATTTTAAAGGGTACCAAAATGTGTGTATTAGGAGGCTGGATTTTTCTGTACATAAACTTTTACAATTGGACATCATCTATGCCTTCAAAACGCCAAAAAACGTCTTTTTTGGGTCTACAAATTTGGTGATCAGGTTCACAGCCGAGCCATAAGGGTCTCGGAAAATAATTCTTTTGCCATTTGATCACACAACATAAGCAATTAGGGGGATCGAAAGTCATTTTTCCAAATTCTCAAATTTTCAGTAGTTTTGAAACTGTCAAAGTTGGAAAACCTAGGAAAAATGGTCATTTTTCTTAAAATTCTTGCGGCACCAGACTTTTTTCAAACTGGATATTATATTGAGTTCTATCTTATAGTCCTCAGCAAGAGCTTTACAAAAATACCCCATATGACTATCTTTTGACTTTACCATGACTTGCTATAGCCTCTTGAAAATCGAAAAAATTGACGTTTTTAGAACCTATTTTTCTATGGATCATATCTCAAAATTGGAACCATTTTAGAAGCAGCAGTTTTTTGTGTTAAATAGATTTAGTATTGAGAAATAATTATGTCAAGTTTCAGACAATTTTATGGATACGATAGTCCACAAGGTTTAAAAGTCTACCTAGTAGTATGCAATTTTTGAAAAATGTTTGCTCCGTTCTCGCTTGTTTTAAGCTCAAATCAATTAATTCCCAAACCATTTCGAGATATTAATGTCTAAAATACATATGCACAGCTCGTCCACTTTCCTTTCTTTAGCTTAGACTCCCATCAAAAGTATCCTTTCACAGACATTGGAAGCATCTGTTGACGTAATTTAAATGTGATATTTTTTTAAATCTTTCACCTTAACATTTTTTTGGATAAACCACATATAATGTCTTATGTACTTTAAAGTAATATTCTCCAAAATTATCATTTCGATCTTTTCGAGAAATGCTGCAGCTTTTATGTTATCTATCGTAAGTCAAGCGTGGAAGGTCGTGGCTTTCTACGTAAGTCGTGTTTTTTTTTTTTACTTTAACAAAATTTGTTATCATGCAGATGCAATGAACATTCAGTCATATTTCATATTTAATAATTTTTGTAGCACCTTTTCTCAATGATTCTGTTTGATGTGTATCTGTTTGTCTTTCTGGTAATTAAATCCCAGCCAAATCTCAACAGTAAAATTAAGTCGATTTGACTCAATTAAAATGTCAGTTTTGCTTGAAGTTTTAAATCGTCCTCCACTTGTCACACGATTTGCATTGATGTGGACCTCATATGTATGTCAGTGACCCAATAGCTAAGAAAAGCTAGAATAGCGCTTTATAATCCAGAAAAGTTTTACTACGTGAATTTTAAGCTTTATCAATTTAATTCAATCAAAATCTTTGATCATTATAATCAGGCAACAAATATCCTTAGATATTGACAAAGACCACGAATTTGAAAAGTTTTAAACAAAAAAAAAAGTTTTTCATCCAAAATGTGTAACGTGAATAATAAATGAATTATCCTAGATTAGCTTAACAGATTATAAATTTGATAAGGAAAACAGAACGTTTGTTTCAGGTGTCTAGTGACTATGTTACACCACCTACAAATTATCACTTCTGCAATACGTTACTTAGCTTTAACGTAATGATTATGAAATGATAATGAATAAGTATGAATAATTTTTAAAAGCAATTTCATTGGCATCTAGCATTAAATGTTGATGAAAATCCATTGACAAGATTTTTTGTACAGCTAAAAACTTTGATCGTTTTGATTAATGGGGACATTGCCTTTGACAACAAAACTCTTAAACAGATTACGAGCTTTTTTAAGTCTAACAGAACTCCAGTAACCCAATTTCGCTCAAAATGCTGACAGAAATGCAAAAAATGCTAATCTTTTTCGTTTTGCTGACAAATTTACTCCAAAAAATCCTCTCAAATAATTTTTAATCATTAAAGAGGTTTGTTTATACATTTCCCAGTAAAAAAGATAAGCTTATGCTGTTTGATGCTTGTAATATTACATGTGTGCACATAACACTGAAACATTTTGTGTTTTATGGATCTTTAAAAGCTTTCAACATAAACTTCATCATACATTTATGCAAGCATGCCTCAAAAAAAAGTTGTTTGTGATTTCTTATCATCCCTCGGAATGATGGTTGAAATGTTAGGCTGTGGAACTATGGCAGCACTTTTTGGAGATTCAAAAGATAGACATTATTAAAACTTATCATTCAGAATTAGATTTGATTCCTTTAATATTTGATCTTCTCCAACCTTCAAACAGAAAGCGTACAAGAAGCTCCTGCTGTTATTAGGAGCAGAACAAGGAGCACATTAGGGTTAACCCACATCTTTGAGATAAACAACGTCCACCAAAAATCTCAATTGAATAATTATCAAGTTGAAATTCTCCTTTTCAAAAACATAAAAGAGTTCCATCGCCTTGAGCGAGAATAAAAGTTTGCTGTGTTTTATGATTGAGTGCATTGTATGTTGTTAGGTATATATGTACTGTCTCAAATGACTAAAAACTTTGTCTTTACCAGATAAATGCACAACATTTTCAATTTGCGCTTTTTTGTTTTGTTTCTGTTGCTGCTTTTTTTTTCACATGAATGCAGGTACAATATTTTGGCAGTAAGAGAATAAAACGGAGGGAAAAAGAGATTTCTAGAAAATAATCGGCTTAATTTTCTCTTTTGCTCATTGCCACTATAAATAGATTCTTATGTACGACGGAAGAAAAATATTGTGAAATTTTTCCTCAGTTCTTTTATTTTGAAGCTTGTTGCTAAATTGAAAGGAAGTGTTTTTATTTAATAAAACTTAATCTGATTATCAGATTGACATCCGAGTAACGCTAAATGGGAAAATTAAAGCAACCAAAGAGTCTGGAATTGCTGGCAATTGAGAAATCAGCAGAATGGTTGTGCAATATTGGCGAGAAATTAATATCTGAGTGCAAAATGCCGTTCACAGATGAAGACGATGTCCCACATACAAATAAATTTACGCATGAAAATTTAGATTTAGTTGTTAAAATTTCGCATGACTTATTCGAGAGATATGTGCCATTCTACCTCTATCGAAACTTATCGGATGAACTCATGAAAAGAATCACGGAATTAATTGAAAAGTGTAAAAACGCAATAGAATTTAAAATAAACATGGCAAAGTTCCACACGCAAATCAAAATTGCTGTACGACTTAGTGAGTCATTAATATCCATCAAATTGAGATCAATCGATTTTGATGAATTACCAAAAATGATTCGGACGTCATTTTACTCGCAATTGAATAAACTTGAGGGCATTGAAATTTTGAGACTTGGCTCATTGACTGGTGGATGGAAGACATTTGAAATGGAATCAACATTAGCAAGTTGCTTACAGCCAATGAAGAATCTCACACAACTTTGTCTCAACTATGATTGTACGGACAAGATTCTCAAAGTTTTAGTCAAAAATTGCCCAAAGCTGTTAAGTCTCGATATCACAAACTCAAAATATGTCACAAACAAGAGTGTTGACATTATAATGGAATTAAAAAACTTGAGAATTATACAATTATACAGAACGGGTGTGTCAATGGAAGGATATATCAATTTATTATTACATTTACCAGAACTCTTGGATGTCGGACGATATGATGAACTTGGAAAGTGTCTTGAATTTATCGACGAATATCATCCAACATACGGTAACTTTAAGCTCGAGCATTTCTCATCGAATCATGCGACAACAAATCAAGTTCAAATACTTTGCGAAAAGTTTCCAAACTTAAACTCAATTTCACTATTTCATGATGAAATACGACTCGATTTAATGACATTAATTGGCATCAACAAATTGGAAAAATTGAAACTTCAGTCGTGTGAGTTCTTTTCGGATCGAATACGAGATTTAATTGAAGTTAAAGGTTGTAATATTACAACGTTAGTGCTCGAGCACGTTGATCAAATTGATATGAATGCACTGATTTATATTTCACAATTCTGTCCGGAACTTCAGACACTTTTTATATGCAATTGCAATTTATTACTCAGCACGTCTCTACACTATCGTTATTGTAAATTACCGCCGTTTTTGAGTTTAAAAAGTTTGACACTAATTGGAACATGTGCATTAGAGCACTTGGAATATATTTTATCATATGCACATAAAATCAAATTCGTTCATTTAGGATCACATATTCCAACAACTGATGAGCTTTTCGAAAAAGTTTTCCTCAAGAATGAGCTTTTTTATCTCGAGGAGTTGCGGATTATGCAATCGTATGCACTCACAATCAAATCAGCATTCATGCTCGTAAATAATTGTTCCAATTTACAACGACTCAATGAGCTTGAAAGTTGGTATTGTGTATATCCACTTCAAATTGACGAATTAAAGGATTACGTACGCAGACATAATCTTGACATTGACCTAACATCATACAGGAAATTCGCAACATAGATTTGTGGTGAATGCTATGAAGACCGTTAAAATTTGAATTTTTGAAAACCGTGCAACCTGAATAATCGATATGTTCTTTATTCCAAATAAGGAAACACTGTAGTTTGTGTTACAATTCGTTGAGTCTTATTTTGACACTAGCCTGATTATGGCTTTAATTCAGATATTTTTTGATTAATTAATAATTTTAATGGATGAAATTTACAAATCATGAATTTATGACTTTTAATTCAAAAGGCTAAATGGGTTGAAATTTGAATTTCAAAACCTTACCAAAATCCTAAACTGATAACTCTGCAAAAAATTCAAGCAGTTCGTAACCGCAAAATGAGTTTGAGAAGAACTGAAAAACCCAATTTATTTTCCTTAGATCAAATATTTATTATTCTTTACGGTTAATCAAAGTTTTTGTTTTCTTGTTGAAAGTTTAATAATTTTTTAAATAAAATGAAAATCAGGAAAAATTAAAGAGAAATTAAATGAAACTTAATAATAACAATTAAAAATAATATTCGGTTACTGGATTGTTTACGTTTTGTAATAGAATTGTAGCAAGATTTTTTTTTTGAGAGTCATTCAATAACAGCGAGTAAATATCTTTGGAAAATATTAGCAACGATTCAAGTACATTCTTAAGTTTGCAGAACAAGAAACGAAAGCTACTTAGAAATTACTGAAGCGTACATACCGCGACTTTTGAAGAAATTCTTATTGAAAATTGCAAACGAGAGCTTTTTGTGTGCATTAATTTCAATGACATAATAGTTGTACTTGATATCTTCCTTACTATCTTTAACCTTGAACTTGTAGTTCTTTCGTGAATAGAATTTAAATTGAAAATAATCTTGCATGAAACCCGATAAAAAGCTATCTTGCTTGAAATTCAATTACTTGACAATTTCTTCACCGAACAACATTAAGGACATTTTTTTCTTGCTTACATCCAATTTTTTTTTTCATCTTTTTAGAACAATTTTTAAAAACTTTCTTATTTTTGGAATTTTTCTTTCTCGTTCTGCTCATAAAAATATAACGAAGAAATTCTTGTTTTTGACACACCTTGATGAATTGTGAATTGTTTTTATCTCGTGTAACGTTGATTCTTTTATTCTATGATATTAAATTGTAAGTTGTATAGGGAAAAAAGCTGATGACATAAATGTGACCATTTTTACTTCCTGTGGAGTATAAGAATTCAAAAAGCATTAAGAATAAGTATCGCTAATGAAAATGTCTACAGACTAGCTTGACGAAAGCGCATTTTCCCAGAACACAACTCAAATAATACAGCAAGTGATCTATTCTTGAAGTTTTATGGACTGTTAAATAAATATTGATACGAAAACGAAAGTTTAAAGACAGACAAATCCCATAAGTAAAAGCTCTATGTACCCGAAAACTGGGAAATTGCGCTGAAAATGAGCGGAAAATTTAAATAGCAATTAAATCATACTTAGACTTCTTGCTCTTGTGGTGATGATTATCTCGACTTTCTTCTCGCGGTCGCTTCTTACTATCGTGATGGCTGCTTTTATGGTGACTACTGCTGCTCTTTTTTGGGCTGTGATGACTGTGGATGTGAAATATAGTGTTAGATAAATAAAACTTTTTATAAGCACCAATTTTATGCTAATTAGCTAGACTATAAATCAAAGCGAAAGCAATTAGTGTTGTTTGAAAGCTGTTGTCCATAGAGCCTTTAATTTTTACTGTGCATCATCGCAACATTTTTCCTTAAATTTAATTTTTTATAGACAACAGCTTATTCTTTACTAGAACAAACCTCGATTTACTGGACTTTCTCTTGTCATTCACATGTCTATAATTATTGAACGATATGATACGGTTTAAACAATTTATAATCAATAAGTATAAGTGGATGAAGAGAGGAACAAATGATAGGTTTAGATAATGACAGTGTGTCCGAACAAAAGGATATTGTATAATGGAATCTAATAAATAACGATTAAAGTGATACATTACTTGCTACTCTTGTGATGGCTGCTCTTATGCTTCTTTTGCTCTGGCTTTTCATCAACTCTATATCGATCTTTTTCACGGTCTTCTTCTGCTGCTTCTCTTTCCAAATCGGACCAATCTTTACCAGATTCTTCATCACTGCCAAGGTCATCAGATGATTCGTCTTCTTCTACGTCCTCGGAAACTTCAGAATATTCTGAATCTGAGTCTTCGTCCTCTGTTTTAACAATTTTACCTTATTAGTAAACTATTTCATGTACTTTTTGACTATTTTTAATGTACCTTCAGCGTCAGAATCCGTTGGTTCGTATGCATCATCTTCTTCGTCCTCTGTTTCATCATTTGCTGCATCTTCGCCTTCAGAATCTGGTTCCAAGAAAGTCCATCCACCGGTTTCAATAAAACCAACTGGATCGTCCGTAATTGTTTTCATAATCTTGGTCCAATTGAGCGATTGAATACCTTCCGAGTAGTGAATGTCACATGAACTGAAAGTTAAATGATTATAAAACGGTTTTTAAAAATTTGAATTTTAACGGCTTTCAAAAATTTGAATTTTATCGATTTTCAAAATCTTGCATTTTATATTTGAAGTTTTGAACTTTTGAAATTCGTTATTTTAAAGGACAAAAAGTTTAAAACAGAATTTCAAAATGTTTTGTAATCCTTACTTCAACCATTCCTTGACGTGATCCAACATGTTCATGGGAATAGCATTAATCATGGCAATTTTCTTCTGATAATCTTTAAAGACAAAAACCATGTCGAAATTTCTTAAGTGGAACTGAACTCGTTCAAAATGAACCAATTCAACGTCTTCGAGAGGAATAACAAGGGGTGGCCATTCAGTTAAATTAACAAGACTTCCAGATGTTGGCTGTAGAAGTACAGTACTACGATAGGGTGCACCAGGGAAACCCAATTCACGGAATGGAACATCAAATTCAACTTGTTGTTTAGTCATTGTTTCGACTTTCTCGCAGAAACTCTTAAATGCTGTTTTCAATTTGTCACGAAGCTCTCGCTCGGATTGTTCTGCTGCTAAATCGTCACGATCGTGCATGTGCTGGTGCTTTCCAAGATCTGTCGTAATTTCACCGACTTCTGTATAGAACTGAACATCAACGTGCTTCTTTTTGCCAAACATAATTGCATGTTTAAGATGAAAATGTAACAAGATAATCATTTCGCCGTCACATGGTTGAAAGAATGCACTCTTAATGTTATTATAAAGAATGTCAACTTTATCGCCACGCACTGATGTATAACGGAAACCATTTACGTGAGCTTCAAGCGAGCCAGTCATTCGTTTGGTTACGATATTGGGACGAATGTAAAGATCCTTTAGTTTTGGATTACCTTTATTTGTCGAGAGCACTAACGTATCTTGTTTCACGAGATCTTCTTTTTCTCGCTCTTCTGCCTCGCGCGTTTTGAAACGCTTTTGAACTTCCTTTATCAAACGAAATGCTGTATTTAAATTTGATGACGGTGCTGAAATTTCACCAGGCTCTTTTGTATTGATGCTACGGTACGTAATCTCTTTTAGGAATGTAGCATCGGGATTTGAGTACGTTCCACCTTCAGTTTTACTCATTGTTGCGCCAGGATGGAAAAAATTGATACGCAAATATGTGTAGTCGCCTTCAACGGATTGTGAGATGTTCTTTATAGTTGAAATATGAAATGGGACTGGAAGTCCAAAGATTGGCATGATTACCGTCTCGTATTTTTTGTCAACATATAATTTCAGATCTTTTACTTCAGGCTCGCGTGGCATTTGATTAACACTCTTGTATGAAACGGTCGATTTACGAACTTTTTCTGATTCCTTTCCGCCAGATTGTTTCGATAAACGTTCCTTTGCCTTCTCATTAAGTGCAATCGAAAGTTCCTTTTGATGTTGCTTACGTTTCTCTTCAGAGCTATTTTCTGAACGCAATTTACTTTCCAAGACTGTTGTGCGCTTTCTTGACTCTAAAATTTCAGTAGATTTTGGGCCTTTTGAGTTCTTTGTAGGCTCCATATCTTCATCATCTTCACTATCATCCTCTTTTAAGAATATACCGATATTTTTAATCTTTTTCTTTGATTGTGTTAAAATACTTGCAGGATTTTCGACATCATTTACCAATACTGTATCGCCAATAAACAGAGCAAGTATCTTTCCCTCCTTATCTGATGAATTCTTATTCTCTAAATTTGCAAGTCCAACGTTCACGTTAAATACCATACCTTTCTTGATTAAGGCTGTGCATTTAGGTCCAATTTGAAGGGAATTATCACGAAACTCTAATCCCATTGCAAATCCAAACGTTTTTGTGAGCTTATCGACGAGTGATGGGTTCTCTTTTTTGGCATATTGCATACCAATCTCATAAACGTCTGATAATTTCTTACCTGGGATTAAAACTTTAAGCATTTCCTCTTCTAAATTTACCAAAAAGTTGTATTGATCCTGTAACTTTTCACTTGGATTTACCAATAATGTACGTACGATATTCGAGCAATAAGACTTGTAGCGAACACCCAATGAGCAAACAATAGCTCCAAAGTGAAGATGATTTTTGTCGCTTACTGCACTAAATTTTAAGCTGTAGCTTCCACCCGATTGAATGATTGGTGGATAACACATATCTAATTGAGACATGTCAACACCCGAGACATATTTCTTATCAGTCAAGGCTTGTTCGACGCCTTCAGCTAATTTTGAGTGCTTTACCTTCTTGTCAGCATCAATAATTTCCATAATGTGATCTTTGAGATATTTATTAAAGACATCTACTGTTACTAGACATGCCTTCTTTACAGTCAATACTTCAGATTCTTCTTTGACGCACATAATCCAGCCAAGAGCGCCACTAACATCAATTTGTTCAAAGTCTTTTTCTTTAATATATGCTCGCCAAGACTCACAAAATTCACCAGGAAAAACATCCTTAACAAATACACCAATTGTCTTGCCTTTTTTTGATGCCTTCATTATTTCCACTAGTTTCTCAAAGTTCCCTTTATCTTTGTCCGTTTTATCCTTAACTAATAGCTTAATTTGCGGAAGGTCTGTTTCATCTTTAATGCTCTCAATTTGTTTAAGGAATTCAATCTTCTTTTTACTCGCCAAAAAATTGATGGAATCTTCGGTGAATATCGTTATTGTGTCAGTCAATTCATAGCCCAAAAGCCAATTCTAAAAAGATCCAGTAAAAAGGACATTAATTGAGGTTAAACTCGAGTTGTATGAAGGATGATGGAATGTTTAGCTTAATCATCATACCTGAAGTGCTGTTGACTTGCTGTAAAGAACTTCCTCATCCGATCCAACAGCTGACATGATACAGTCGGACTTTTGAAGCGAATCATCGTGGCTATATTCCGGTTTCTTAATTTTATTTGAGCGGCAAAATCAAAACAATGGAAATTTAATTATTTTAAATTTAGTCAAATATTCATGCAAATACTTCAACTATGCTACTTTTGACATCATAAAAATGTATTTCTTAATAGAAATAGACACTTTATAGCATGGAAACATGCCAATTTATCGTGATAATCGAAATATTGCGAAATTTACCTTCCAATTTTGATACAATCTTTTCACTCGTCGTACAAAGCTCTCTTTATCGAGAACCACGTTAGACATTATGCTCTATCCTTAACGAACTCTTATCCAGCGATGATTTTATTAACTTTCTGTGTCTATAAGTATTATTTAAGCTGCGTTTAATTATAATTTTTTAAGGTTTTAGATTTTTGCAAAAAAAATTCGAAGACGCTCAACTCAACTAGAATCTCCGAAAAATTTAAATTTTCGAAAACCGTTAAGTCGCTGGATCTTTTCATGCTGCGAAACTCATATTTTAACAGCTAGACATATGCTATGTCTGCTTACATTATGCTGTAATTTCAACTTTCTGATATAAATTAAATCCTTGGATTAATGTTAATCGGGATCACATAAATGTCTAGCTTAATAATAAATCGCTGGATTAAAGATTTTAGTTTAGACGATTTCGTGAGCTGAAAATTAAGGAAAAATGGGAAAAACAAAGAAAAGCATAAAGTAGTGGATTTGTGATTTTTATCAAATTTTCTCAATTTTTTATTTTTCAATCAAGAGGAATATTTCACATTTTTTCTTGCAGATTTCCTTTGCAAAATTTGCTCTTTTCTTGCTTATTAATTTAACATTAATGAATGTGTTCCTTAATGTGCACTCTTTTGGGCCAATCTCTTGTCACGCTCTTCAGCAACACTAAGTTTGATACCCTTACCTTTTGGTAATGAGATGAATGCCTTAGCGCCCTTTCCGATGGTAAAAACGTTTGTTAAACGTGTGGCGAATGTGTGTCCATTGGCATCTTTCACGTGGATAATTTCGAAGGATCCTGGATGTTTTTCTCTGTTGACGACAGTTCCGACACGACCCAAATTACGACCTCCTGTGATCATGACTAAATTGCCTGATTCAAAACGAATATGGTCTGTGATTTTTGATGTAGCAATATCCAATTGAACTGTATCGTTAACCTTTAATGTTGGATCTGGATAGCGAATTGTACGTCCGTCGTGTGTTACTAAATATGGAATCTTCTTGGGTCCAATTGTGACTTTCTTCACCTTGCACAACTTGTACTGTAATTAAAGGAAATATGTCCATAAAAATACTGATTTTTTAAGGCATCATCTAAAATTAAGTTGATAGAATTTGGGAATAAATGTCTTCACCGATAATTGTTACTGAATTGAATATTTTGAAGACAAACAGTGACCGTATTGATGACATTTGATGTGGGCTCTATATTGACTCGATTCATCTTCATTATTTCATCGATGACCAAGCTTCGATAAAGCCATTTAATAGTATAAATGACAAGTTTTTGTATTACTTACTTTAGCTTCATCAGCAGTAATACGGTGAATAGTGAATCGTCCCTTAACATCATAGATCAAACGGAAGAATTCACCAGTCTTTTCAATGGTGACGACATCTAGAATGTTAGAATTAAGTATATTAGTACTCAATATTAAGAAAATAAGAAGTATTGTAGTTATTAATATGGAAGCTAACTCATCTACTGTATTAAGTTATGAGATAGGGCAAATTAAAACGATTGATATTCGAAGTTTTATATGAAATGCCTCAAAATTAGCGATACAATTTTGAAGCACTAGTCTCTTCGGTATAAAATATATTATAAGGATCAGTAACATACCCATGAATCCAGCTGGATAATTAATGTCTGTTCGGACCTTGCCGTCAACTTTAATGTGGCGTTGCATGACAATTTTCTTAGTTTCAGTGTTTGTTAAAGCATACTTCAAGCGATTACGCAAGAAAATTACCAAAGGAAGTGATTCACGCAATTTGTGTGGACCGGTTGAAGGACGTGGAGCGAAAGTACCTCCCAATTTGTCCAACATCCATGCTTTTGGTGCTGCTAAGCGCTTCAAATGTTTCTTCGGACCGCGGGCCTATAATTCAATTAGAAACAATCTTTAGCATCATGTTAATGGTTTATAATAGTTTAATTAACTTACCATTTTCCGAATTTATGTTCCTAAAAAGAGAAAACAATTGATGATTAGTCTAACCTCAAAAATCATGTTCACAAAATTTCAACTTTTTAAATCAATAATCTTCCATAATTGATGATTAAAAGTTATCTAATTACATTAATTAATGCTTCTTTTATCTCATTTGCATCTGTGGCTGTTTGAATAGCTTAATTAAAGATATTCACAACACATTTTTGTTGTGATAATGCTCGAATACTTTTTCATCAATTTAACATTAAGTTTGTCTATTTAAGGACGATTCTTTGATTTATTCCTATAAATCCTTTATTTAACTTCACATTATAATTAACTTTAACTTAATTAAGCGTCTGAATTAATGGAAAATTATTAATTTTATAGAGCAAACTGCACTTACTTCGGGATGACGAAAAAAAAGAAAGAATATCTCGAATTCGGAATTGACTTTAGAAGCTTGTTCGAATCGGACATGTCGAATATTTGAATTTCATAAATACGTTACACCTTGATTTATTAAGTTCCTTTCTTATGAGTTTTGTAGCCTTTCATGCTGTTTAATTAAGCTAGTATCGATTTTAATCATGATGTACATAGTTTTGAGTACATAAGCTGCACTATATCAGTCAACTTTTGAGATGCAGCGATTCAGCATAATTTTCAACTCTGGAATTAAGGTAAACAAAATAAGAATGAATTTTCCAAATATCAAGTTTGAGTGTAAATTAAGCAAAACCCAAGTGTATTCATTAAAGAATGATGAAAAAACTATCCAAAGAACATGCAGGAACCTCCAGTTATCAAAAATTGTGAGTATTTCTATGATTGATTAACATAACCTTGTTATTTATGCTGTAAATTATGATCCACAGATATCAATATTGATCCCTGAAACCATGACAATAGAATCAATGAATAGTGCATACTACAGAATTGATGAATTTAAAATTGCTGACATTTTCTCAAAAAATTTCATCGACGGTTACGTCCTAAATGGTGATTTATGCTGTACATCAACAAATGATAACTATGAGAACTGCCAATTTATTTTATCTGAAAGGAAATTAACATTAAGGCTTGACAGGGAGCTGTATTATTCTCTCACTGCTGTGCATTTAACAAAATTTGTCAGGAAGAATCAAGATGATAAGCTGTTTGTGACATTTGATGTTGACTTGAGTTATAATCACATCACTAAGATCAAAACTGAATTAATGTCAGAGAAAGTAGAGAAAATAAGCATAAACTTTTCATGGAAGCCTGAAGGAAATGATATATGTCCATCATCAATAGCGAAATTTCTCACAGATATGGGATACTCGGTTAAAGAATGTGAAAACAAGTACCTAAATAACATTTTGTACAGCATAAAGGTCCCTAAGATTCCAACAAACCCACTTAATGACGAGACATACGATGAATGGAGTGAATTACTAGAACATACAAGTATGATCATGTTAGGCTGTGAGAATAATGAACAAACAGGACTAAATGACTCAAATCTAATAAAAGTTCGAAGAGGAAGCGTGCTGCATTATAAAGGATTCATTTCATACAGCAAGTTAAAAGACTTGATAATGGAAATTCGCCACATGATGTCAGAAAACTCTTCATTTCCATACATTGCCGTGTCATCAGTTCCATTTTCTAATCTACAAAAGCATTTTAAAACGAAATTAATGTTTATAACACCAGACATGATTTATGCTTCAGAATAGTTTTATTATTATTTTTCATAATGTGTTATGTTCTTCCAAAAAAAAAAATCTTTTTTCTACTAACATACATGGATCATAAGTATTTAAAAGTGAATATTGTAAAGTTAAAAATATCTTCCTGATTACCTTAAAGCGCCATCTTTCGTCCTTCAATTGAAATCTAATGAAAAAGATTAATTAAAATAACAAAAACCATTATTAAGTTAAAAATGTAGCTTACAGTATTCAGTGCCTTCATATTCTTCATTCGTTTTGCGTCAAGGAACTTCTTCATATGCTTTTCATATCGATTAGGCTTCTTTTTCGTGATTCTTGACATGTCAACATCATTATTACTTTGCGGACGGACCACATAATCTTTTGTTGACGGCATTGGAACTCTAGCTCTTGCCACATAACCCTTATCACCAGGTCTTAATGTCTTCTCCTGGTCCTGATTAAACGACAAATCTTTACGTTTACTTCCTTCCTCAATTTCAGGACTCTTTCGACGCTTTCTAGGCATTTGGTCCAAGTCACGCTGTTCGCGTTCTTCACGCGTTAGTGCTGTGAAATATTGTCAATTTAATTATGAAACAGGTCTGAGCAATAGAATATTAATTCTTACCCTTAAAATCACAGCTCAAATTGAAGATTGGACGAGCCCATTCAGATATTAATCGTCCAGCTCGTTCGCGATTTTCCTTCGTTTCTCTTGGATGCTTATACAAATACATGACGGCTTTTCCGATACCTGATTGCTTCAAGTATGATTTATCGATTGTTGGGAACTGAAAATTTTCAAAACAAATAAATCGATTAGAAATTTGTTAACAAAACGATATAACAAAGTTACTTACATCAGCTAAAAGTCTTAATATATTTTCGCGAATTTGAAGGCAAGGCAAACTTCTATTTGGTAGGGGCGCAAGCCAATCAGTAAGAACATTGAGTACATTATGCTCTAAAAATGCCAATTGAAGGTCACGTTTAATGAGTTGTGACATGACTGACTTAAGCATTGATATTTTCTTTGTGGCAGGTCTATTTTCTACATTTAACTCTCTGTCTTCTTCAGCAGCGTGTCGCATATTTTGTAATAACTGATCAATTAAATCATCATTATCATTAATTAAACTAATATCGCCTCTCTTTCGTCGACGAGTCTTTCCTTCACGACATTTTGCAAGGATTTCGTCAAAATCTGAGGCAAATTCTTTTTGTGGTGCATCATTATCTCTGTCGATAATTCCTTCGTCGTCACTGCTATCTGGCAAAACTTTCTTCTCTTGACCAGCTTTATCTTCCTCTCCTTCATGATCTGAATCTGTTATTTTATTTCTAGGCAATTTTGCTTTTGGCTCATTATTTTCGTCTTCAGAATCACTCAAAATTGCACGCTTCTTGCGTGGTGATGGAGAATCTAGGAACAGTAATGATCATTTAGAATTGATTTCTTCAGGGATTTTTATAAATGATGTTACAGGAAGGGTTTTAAGAATTTGAGAATTATATGGAAATATACTAAATTCGTAAAATACAGATTGGCATAGAATTGTTGAAATACATTAGTTTGATAAGCAATCCATTTATGGTTTGCAAATTACTTACTACTTCTGGATTTTGATCGACTGCGACTATTTGATCGACTGCGACTTTTTGAACGACTGCGACTTTTTGAACGACTGCGACTTTTTGAACGACTGCGACTTTTTGAACCATCACGACCTTTGGAAACACTACGATTTTTAGAACGACTTCGACTGTGACTTTTTGATCTGCTGCCACTTTTAGAACGACTTCTTGATCGACTACTTCCACTTGGGGATCTTGAGCGACTATTTGATCGACTGCGACTTCGAGATGAGCTTTTTGAGCGACTACGGCTTCTTGAAACACTTTTTGATCGACGATTTCGAGATGCACTGCGTGATTTAGATCTGCTGCCTGATTTACTCCTTGATTTTACACTGCGAGATCTGGATTTTCTCACTTCATTTGTTGCCTCTTTTGAGGCACTTCTCGAACGACTTTTTGATTTGCGGTCCTCACTTTTTCTTGATACATCACTTTTTGATCTAAACATTTGATTTTTAAAAGATCCAGTGAAAAAATTTGCACAAAATTAAATCAATAAATGAATTTTTACCTTGAACGAGAATGTCGCGTATGATTTGAGGTAGCTGAATTAGCTGATCGGCTTCTAAAGACGTAAAATAATATAGCTTGCAATGCGTTATTATAGTCAAAACAAAGATAAAGCTTACCTTGAACGTGATTTTCTGGATGCATTGCTATTTTTGCTAGAATCTCTGGATCTTGAATGGTGGGATTTTTCACTACCTTCTTTAGATTTGATCGACTCATTTGAATGACTTCTGGATCGTGGTGATTTAATTGGCGATTGAGGTGATTTAGGAATCAATTCGGAAGCATTTATTTCTTTTGTGAGAAAAATGATGAGAAAAAGATTATGAAATTGTCTCTTTATTTCACACTTTTAAGAATATCCTTCATAGTCTTTGGATATATATCAACTTACCAGCTTCAGAGTCCATATTTGTAGCTATTAAAGTACTCTAATTAATCTAAAATTGTTAAAAATCTCAAAATCAAATATTGCCGAAGAAATTGCGACGTTGCCAAGTTTTTCAAGTTTTATTTGAACTTTTTTCGACTGTTAATTTTTTTGTTTACATTTTTTTTCTCGAGAATTTAAAATAATTATTGATTATGTCCAATTATGCTTTGTTTGCATCAGGATAGAGGTTCAAAAGATGATCAAATTTACCACCGCATGTGTTCTGATAATGTCCCCCATCATAATAAATTTTTGAGCATGATTCACAAATATAGAATGTCTGAAAAACTCGCAAAGTTCCGTCCGCAACAGAATCTGCATTAATTTTTGTACCATACTTTGTAGCTTGTTCCATGTTATAACGTCTCCATGCAAAGAATGCTTTGTGTTCCGGAAATATAATTTTTGATGACTCTTCAATATCCGTTAAAAATGGCATCAAATCATTTGGTATTGACTGCCTGTTGTACTTTATTCTTATCAAGTCAAATTTCGAGGCAATTAAAAATTCATCGCAATTGCAAACCATACAACGACTAAATATGTGTTCGTGCTTAATGTTGATTTTAAATGTCTTTATTATTTCTTCCAGTGCTGCAATGTCATTCAAGTTGTTCAACACATACGAAAATCCAGGCTTTGTGTACTTTTGATACTGTTTGGATGAGTAAATAAAGTTAATTATCATGAGAAGTTCATTTAAAACAGTCAACAACTTACTCTGCTGCATAACGGTTTACTAGCTGACAAAATTATTCGATTTTCGTTTTGTGAATACTTGATGCATTCGTCATGATCGACGTAATCCCCTTTAAGGATTCTTGTATCGATTCCCACTTGACGTAAAATCTTTCCAACTCCACCAATCATGTAATCAGTTACAAAGGAAATTTCACGAATACTAAAAATATATATTACATTATTAATCGCACGATAACTCTTGATTTATGCTGTGTCTTTTGGACAATTTTGTCAGAATTTTATGCTATTAATTGATTGCTATCTAAACACAATTAAGGTCTTTTATGTCAAGCGATAACTTTTTTTTTTGACAAGATAAGAGTTCTGGGAAGTAGAAAGCCAGATTGGACATGTACGAAAACGTAATTCACATTCCGCAGATTTTACAATATACATATGACTCGATCCGGTTCAAGTCACTTAATTTAATTTTTCAAAACCCGATCTTTATTAACTACCCTACTTAAGAGATGCTAATCTGGGGATTTAAATTAATCCAGCTCGAGTTGATGAGAGCTTGCACACAAGAATTGCGCAGGGGATTGACACAAATAAAATTACCTTTTCGGTTGTCTATAAATAATGTCAGGCAATGGATGTTGTTGTTGTTGATTGTTTTGAGTTCTTTGTCTTGATTCCTTTTTTGTCAATGAAGCAATATCGCGCTTATTTTCCATCAAGATATTATTAATCAATTCATCATAATTTATACCCATTTTTGCGATGGCATTTCCAATGATATCGTAAATTTCAAAGAGACAGAATGCATCGAGTGCTGCATAAGTGATTTGTTCGGCTCTTAATGGTCTTTGTTGCCAATTACTAAACTGATTACTTTTATCTAGTTTCTTGCCTAGACATAATTTCACCAGATTTGATAAGCTCTGCGATGAGACATCGTCGTGGAATGGAAAACGGAAATCGGGAAAGTTTATGACTTTTTGCCATAAACCTTGAAGGTCTAAATACGAATGTGAAGACTGATTATGTTGAATGCCAAATGCCTGGAATTTAACCAGCATAGAAATGTCAGTGGAGTGAGCAAAGCCTAATTTCAATATTTCCTCATTATTGAAAATACATCGTCCAAGTAAGCTCCAATCTCTACTTGACATGTTATGTTGCATTAATGTTATAACATCGACCAAGTAGATTCTATCACGTTTGGCAAGTTGTATGAGCGATACGTCACTGCAAGCTAGTATCGTTGGCTTCCATTCGGTATCAAAAGATATAATTTTTGATGTTTGCAGATCGTTAATCATTTCACGATATAGCTCAATTTCATTAACTAATATAACACAGCACTTGTTTAACGGCAGTGTATGAACACATTCTCCATCCAATGATACCGAATTATTATCATTTTCTTTATTTGTAGATTCAAAATTTGTAAACTTATCATTATTAATATTATCACGAATAACTTTCGGTACCTCACTTAAATCAACATTATAGTACTTTGTCCATTTAATGGCATCCTCTAAGGATCCGTAATTAACACAGCTACAAACTAGTTCTTGCTGCAATTCTTTGTTTTCTGAACCGATTGTGTCTTTAACCATTTCCTCGAATGAAGCTTGATTGAGGCTCTTTTCGATGAAATTCTTACGTAAAATGAAAAATAATGAGCCAAATTCCTTCTGCTTCTTCATGTTTGGCGTTATCGAATCAGGTAATTGGTATTTTTTCAACAGTCTGTTAAGTAGCTTTGCTACTGTCTTCTTATTTAATTTCTCATATTTTACGTCCTGTAACTCATACTTTCTGATGTAATAATCACAGACCTGACGAACGGACGAGTCACGCTGCAAAAATGAATCCAATAGCTGAATCATTGGAACTCGCAAGTTGACTGCCTTGTCCAAATAGTCTTCAAAAATGCCTAATTTGTCTTGTAGAATTAAAGGAATCAGGAATTCATCGATTGAAAAGTCATTGTACAATTCCAAGTCAAATGCTATTTGACCAGCTTCCTTAAAATGTTTTGTAGCTACCAGATCACGGATTTCAGGTATAAAAAGATGCTTGGATTTAATTAATTCAAAAATATCCACAACAAGTCTAAACGCCGTTATTTGTCCGCTCTTTTTAAGGAAATTGAATGCAACCATTTTTTTGTTGTCATCAAGCAACAACGCTGTGTCAAGGTTGCACATTTTCTTGAATTTCGCCAATTCATCCAAAATTGTATACGCAAAAGAATTACTTTTTGGATTTGAGTGATCACTCGCATTGGCGAAGAATTTAAGGGCGTATATAAATGGATCGGAGACATTCTGATAGAACTTCTGTATGACTGATGAGAGCACAGGTGATTTCTTATCTATATAAATTAAGTTTTAATAGAGCGGCATTGAAAAAATGAAGAAAGTAAAAATTTGAATTTAGATAACTTACATTGTTTCCAATATTGATAGATCTGATCGAACCACTGCTGAGAGTTATTATCTAGTGATATATCGAAATCCCGTTTCTCCAATCCAGCCTCAATACCGAGAGGCTTAATTAATTTAATTTTTGCTACACTTTGTTCATCTGTATTTTTCCGAAGATCAATTTTCAGCTTTTCTGGGCTATCATTCACATAATACTCATCGTCGTCACTATTAAAATACTCTGCTGGATATCCTGAACTTAAATTTGCCATCCTTAATATCACAATTATCGCCTTAATTAAAGATTTTCATAATTTTCGCTTTTTCAAAAAGATTTTACTCAATTTTAATTCTTCCAAATTTTTGAATTTTTCAAAACCGTTGCAACTTTTTACACGTGTTTGGAATTTTCATTACTTTTTGTACTCAAAACGTGTCGATTTTTATAGTAGAATCTATTAATTAATTAATTTGCTATCATTAAGTTTTATTATATAGTGGTTTAACTTATCGATTGAGCAATTAAGATTAAAAATTCATCAATTTTAGCTTAGCTGGTTGTTGAAAAATTCCATGAAAAAATCACACATTATTATGCATTAAAAAAATTAATCAAAAATACTGCTCTTCCTGCTTATTTTAATCATTTAATTAAAGTACTTTTTAGTAATTCTGTAGCACGATTAAGTGAGGGAAATTAGAGGAAAATTCAAAAGTTTGGATAAGAGGAGAAACAAGAAAAATTTTGAGAGAGTTCTCAGTTCAATAGCGCATTTTTCTAGCTTATGATAAATAAATACTACATTTGCAAGTATGATAAAAGAGGAAGTGACAGATTCTAATGATAGATGATTAATTAGCAATGACAAAGAAAGTAAGATAAAATCAGATAGACAGATAGACAAAACTCAAATATTGTATGACATTCGCATAGTGATTTGTAATAATTGGCTAATAGTCACTCAGTCGCTCAGTTCAACACAATCTCTCGAGAAGGACGGACCTAAAATATTAACAGAGCCGCTTTAATAATTTTAATTATAAAAATTCATATTTCCTCATTTTAATTCAAGATTATGAAAGCATCAACAATTTTAACTAATTATTGAGGATTAAATTTGTGCAAGGAATTAAGGAGCAGATTTATAAGAATCGTTTTATTAGAGGTAAAAATTTGTGATATAGAAAAATGAGCGAGAGAATAAGCTCAGCGATGACACTAGCTATTTAATGTCGATAATTTAAAGACATTTTTGTCCATCTGTCATCAAAGTTAAACTCTATTTAATAATTAAAAAGGCATTTTAAAGACCTACAAGTGTGATTATGGTTAATAATAGTGCGTATTGTATGTCTATGTGATAAATATAAGGTACGAGTCACTCCGCCTTGGACATAAATTTTTTATTCACAAAGAGAGAGAGACAAAACGAGAGAAAATTCGTTAAGTTTATTTCAACATTATTATTTTTCTAAGTGTGTAAAATAAAACTATTAAATCATTTGACTAGCTCTTTAACGCAGCCACAACAGATAACAGATTGCATTCTACATAAATATCGCATAATTAATGCAAATGTTCTTATGCTTGATTTCATGTATTACACTTTTAATTCCATAAATTTTATATTATATGTGTGTATATTGTACTTTCTCTCATAATTTTTGTGTGTCTTATGTCTATGTTGTTTTTTTTCATACTCTTGCGCTTAATATCTTTCTTTACATACTGGGACAAGCGAAAATAAATCGCAACACGATGTGGCGAACATTTTTTTTTGTTCCTTGCCTTGCTTTATACTTCCCTAAATAATAACAAAATCGTCTTCTTACTGGGATATTGAAGAATGAGGTTTATGTGGAAATGTAAACATTCAAAAAATTATGGAAAATATATACATAGGTAGACATTATTTTCTTTTTGGGATGTGCGATACCTTTCTTTTACAATCTGAAGACTACTTTGGGTTATCTTCTATTTAAATCATTCAAATGTAGTTCCAATAAAATTCAAATCTATATCTTACGGTTAGTTTAAGAATCTTTGTAAGCTTCTCTAGTTGACGATGTGCCACAAGTAAACAATCATACCCAATTATTTGCAATCATGCATTTAATTCAGCCAACATCAAGTTCCTCTTCGTCCCTTTCAAAAAGATTATTTTTAATAACTTTTTATCACAAAATTTAAATAATAAAAAAGCATCATATCATTAACACTTCAATTAACATATATTGAAAAGAAAAGCGAAAAAGAAGAAGGAACAACAACAAATAGAACGTACGTAGAAGGCTGATTGAGAAAATGTGTAAAGAGTCAAATACAATTTTTTTTTTACTCTTTATGAACAATATAAAATTTTTGTAAAATAAATAAATGCACAATGGAGATTGCCGTAAGATATATGTTAAAAAAATAATATAAGAATCGCTTAAGCCTAAGAGAGGAAAAGGCAAAAAAGCTTACTAGGGGCTGTTCACTTATTACGTTACGCAAAAAAACGACTTTTTTCAGCCCCTCCCCCCTTGTTACAATTATGTTACAACTCACTCAACTGTTGGTGTGAATTTGTAAACAAATTTTTTTTCGTGAACATACATACTTCTTGACCCCCCCTCCCCCCCTTGTTACAATATTTCAAAGCCCCCCCTCTCCCCCCTAAAATGCGAATGTAATAAGTGAACGGCCCCCTAGTATTCCTTGTGTGTGAAAAAAATAATAATATTGAGACAACTTTAAAATTCGCCACGTTATCAGAGAGAGGCACAGAAAACTTATTCTATTTAAAATCAGCAGTCATCATTAATAATGTAAAAATTACATTTTATGCTTTAACTTCTATTGAACCATAATGTTTTGAGTCGAACGCGCGTCAATAATTCATGCATACGTTAAGTTTTCTTCTTTATTATTATTTTTTGTATGTTATCAAACTTTAGATAATTTGGAGTACATTCTCTCCTAGCCGCACATCCATACACAAAAAGTATTCCATTAATGCCCTTATTTATTTACTCTGGATGACTGATTTTAACGTGGAAAAAAGCTGCCTTCAAGAACTAAGTCTGCGTACATTTAAATTATGTAAATTGTCTGTGCTGTTTAGTAATAGTGATGTTATTTTAAAGTTCATGGTATTTCCAATGAGATTACTGTTCTCTAGCTGAGGTTTCGGGCTTTTTTTTTGTACATTTGTAATGCATAGTATTGCTTTGTGTATGCAGTTTTATTCAATTCAAGCTTTTGAGTTCCTATCGTAACATCTATCTTATAGACATAACTTTGCGTAATTTTACGTACGTACAACTTTAAGATTAGGCGTTAGGAAGCTCACAGGAGATCACTAAAAGTGCAATCACATGCCGATAAAAATAAAATGAAAGAAAATATAAATTGCGCTATAATTATCAGGTTGCGATAACTCCCATTCTCAAAGCTCTCTTTGTATACAATCTATTAGGGACTAATTTTTATTTAATTCCCCTGAAGATTAAAGCATGTGAATTAATTTGATATTGATATTATTTTCGTGTTCTCTTCTTTCGTTTTAGGTAGTACCTATATAAATAAAGGCGAAGAGAGCGAGAACGAGAATAAAGCAAAAAGGCAGATAAGAAGAAGGAAAAAAGAGCATAAAAAACAAAAAGTCTGAATGTAATCAACTGTTTAACAACATCAACTTAAAGAGACAGACAAGGATAACAAGTGAAAATGATCTGCATTTGATTTGTCATACTTTTACGTTGTGTGTTGATTAATTCAATTTAACAAAACAATAATTTCGAATGAGCAAGGAGTAATTAAACAAAACAACAAATAATAGAGAATAGCGAACAAGAATGACGATAATATTATTTCTTATTGATACATCAGCATCGATGTGCCAAGAAGCATATGTGAATGGTGTTCATAAATCATATTTGGATACGGCAAAGGGAGCAGTCGAGACATTTCTCAAATATCGTCAGCGATCACAAGATTGTATGGGTGATAGATATATGCTGCTTACATTTGAAGATCCACCAAATAATATAAAGGCAGGATGGAAAGAAAATCATGCAACGTTTATGAATGAATTAAAGAACTTACAATCGAATGGATTAACCACAGTCGGTGAAGCATTAAAAGGAGCCTTTGACCTACTAAATTTGAATAGAATGCAATCTGGAATTGATACTTATGGTCAAGGTCGTTGTCCATTTTATTTAGAGCCATCGATAATTATATTAATTACGGATGGTGGTAGATATTCACACAGAAATGGAATTGATAGTCAATTGTCATTGCCACTTAATGTAAATATTCCTGGAGCGAAATTGACAAAAGAGCCATTTCGTTGGGATCAACGATTATTTTCGTTAGTATTAAGGATGTCAGGACATAGGGGTGATGAAAGAACAGAAGGAAAAGTGCCGCATGACGATTCACCGCTTGAAAAGATGTGTGAAGTAACAGGAGGTCGATCGTACAAGATTCGTAGTCAATATGTATTAAATCAATGTATCGAGAGTTTAGTCCAAAAAGCTCAACCAGGTGTTGTCATCAACTTTGATCCAGTATTTAAAGAGCAACAGAAAGATCTTAAAGAAACGGATTTGCCTGAAATGATCTTTCAAAACATGAAAAAGATGATTTTTGTACCAAAAATTCCAAATATTAAGTCATTTCCACTTGGATACTGGCCATTGCCTGAATCTTATTGGCCTGATGTTAAAATGACATCACTTCCACCACGTGATGCTCATCCGAGAATTAAAATCTCACTTATATCACAAGATGAGCCACAAATTGTAAGAAATTTCCCTATTGATAAATATGAAATGGAAGGAAGTCCTCTAACACTTTGGATATTATCGAAAAAAGATCCAAATAAAGTCTATCCAATAGTTGTAGTCAATTCAAATGGCGGTAATATGCACGATCCAATGGCACCTTATCGCATGCATCCTCAAATGACAAATGAAGCACCCTTTGGATACTTAAAAGCTAATAGTACTTTAATGGTTGTACATTTTTATGTTTTACCATACAATTATCAATTCTTATTGCCTCTTTTATGGGAACTTGTGCATAAACTTAACTTGAATCCAACGAGTGAATGGATTAATAAATTTGCATCGTACGTCAAAAATATCCCACAATATTATTGTCCATTTCTAAGGAAAGCACTCGCCATGATCAATATTCCCTATCAGTTACTACAATACATTCTACCAGAATCACTCGATAGCTATCTTTCTCCGACTGTTGCGAATCAATTAAAGCAGATGAAAAATATGGCAAAACAAGAGCAGGAAAATCTATGTATGAGAGTATTTAAGCAACTTAAACAGCCCCGAATGCCATATCATCAGCATGAAACTGTAAAATTAAATTGTGGTCAACCAATAAAAACAGCAGAGTTGGTCAAGCATCCGATGTTACGCGATACATTTCAGAAAATTCATGGTGAAATTAGCATTTTTGATAACTTTAATATCATCGTTCCGACCTTAACAAGTGTTCAGTCAACAAAGAATTATAGAAATCCATTTGATATTCCACGACGTGATTTGATCGATGAAATCGCAAGAATGAGAGATAACTTTTTCAGAGTGTCTTCATCCAACTTGATACTACTATCAAAAGATGCAGGAAACAGCCTGCCAATTGCAGAAATGGGTAATTATCAGGAATATCTTAAACGACGAGAGACACCATTAAGAGAATTAGAACCGACTAATGTGAGACAGCATATGTTTGGTAATCCATATAAACGTGATAAGAATATGGTGATGGTTGACGAAGCGGACGATGGAATTGACCCAAATAATGGTGCATCAAATAATAAAATGCAAAACATAACGAAGAAGGACATAAGAATGAGTAGGAAAAGGAAGGCTGGTCCAATTCGAAAAGATTATATATACAAACGAGCACGTTATGATTTTGGATATTCTTTACCACCTGGATTGCCTTGTGGACCGTCTCCAACGCCATCAGAAATTGACGATACATCAGATACAGCCTCAGAAATATCATACAGTATAGATGACGAGGATACACGCTCAGAATTTAGTGATGTCACAAGCGATGATGAATTTAGAAAGAATGGACATATTCCTGATTATAATTTCGATAGTATATTGAATGACTCGAGTCCGGATACAATGCTTAACACACCAAGTCCGCATTTACAATTACCACATTTAATTCAGCAATACCCGACTGTACCAGTTCGACAGCCGTCAGGTAATAATCTACAAACAAATCACTTATTAATTAAAACTAGATTTTAATAACTTTTTAAATTCATTTTAGCTGGATTGTCGCGACTTAATTTGCAACAATTAGATTTACAAGCACCGCCAGCGCCACATTTTCAGCAAAGCTATCCATCTCATCACTTTCATCAGCCACAAATTGGTTCCGTGCCAGTCGTTCCACACATTATGCCTAATAATGGTGATTTATCATCAAATTCACTTCAAAATCCAGCTGTGGGTAGTGCTGTAACATCACAGCCAGTTCCAACATCACCAACAACTCCCGCACCACCATTTCCATCGATTTCAGTTAGTCTTAATGTTACACCAATTCCGATAGCACGTACCATACACAATAATGATCTTAATGATGCTCAAAACATCTCGAAAATTCTTCAGTCATCAATTCACAACGGAACTAGTTCATCAATTACTGCAAATCATACAAATATTAACAATAACAACAACAATAGTAATAATAATAATAATAATGATAGTAAGAGACTATTTTTAGATGAGGGATCATCTCAAGTTAATCATAAAGAAGAAAGACCAAATAATGATAAGAATCATCATCGATCGAAGAGAAAAGCAGCACAGCCAAAAGTTGTTGAGAAACCAGAGCCACCAAAAACACCTAAGAAGCACACAGAAAAGCAGCAGCAGCAGCAGCCGCAACAGCACATTCATACAAATGGATTAATAGATAAGAAACCAAATCACACAATAATGAATGGAAATAACGATGATACTGTCGATGATGAGCTTTTGGATAAGATTAAGGATGATAATATGGAGACGAGATCGCTCGTGTTTAGGGAAATTCGTAAACTTGGACGTGATTATAGTGGACTATATGAACAATTAGGCAAAATTAAAGGGTCATTTGACATGCGTTTAAATTTCATCAAAATGTGTATTGAGGAAGCGTCGAGATTTCGTCGTAAGCACATGGCGGACTGTATTCAAGAATGGTGGGTGTCACGATGTGATGGAACAATTGCTGAACAAACGGGTAAAAAGCAAAAGAAAACGTAGTAGAATTTTTATAGATATCTTACCCTTTCATATCCTGTGATAAAAATACGTGAATGAATGAAACAATTCTGGTGGAATCTGATTTCAAATTATAATGTTTATATCAACTATATCAGCAAGCAAGAATGAAAACAAAAACAGTTAAGGCATAAAGTCATCAGAGAGGATAAACAAAAAAAGTATTTTCTAATAGATGTTTTTATCTTCATTTTTACACAACCTGAGAACCCAAGTTTTTTTCTTCTTCTATAAAGTTATTATTATTTATGTAAATGAACTGCATTTTCGCTTTTCATAATCCACACATGTCATGTAATTAGTTGAGCCTTCTTTTTTTTAGAAAGAGGAAGTTAAGTGAAGAAAAAAAGTAGTTTCCCTCTATTTGGGGAATAGTATTTAATCTAATCTGATAATTACTGTACATAGATTTTAAATTTCTGATTCGAATAATAATAATAAATAATTTGCAAAGAAGAAAATGTGAAAAATCATCTTAGTTTTGCCTGCTAATGATTCATTTTGACAGAAATCATGCCTAAAATAGACTTAATGAGAAAAGTTCATCAATAGAAAAATGAGTTTACGCGTGACCTCATAAAAAGTCGTGAAACTCTACAAATGAGCACATAAATCAACGTAGGTGGATGACTAATGCACGATTTGCCAACTAATTTTTATTCTAGAATACAATAAATATTTTCAAATTTCTGAGAATATTCTTTTAGTGTTTTATGCTGAAATTATGAATTGAAATGAAGCGACGGTTACTTTTTCTCAGTATGGGGTGATTTGAGGAAGTATTAAATGATTGCCGAGCACAAATTGAAATCAAGCATCTTTTTCAAAATTAAAATAACAGTTTAAAACATTAATGTATATTAGCCGTACAAAATTGAATGATCTTTAATCTTTTGATGAGCGTGTCATTCTAGTCAAGCAAAATAACTCCACTATGATGCAAAGTCTTAACATCAGCAAAATAAATTTGGAGCTATGTTCTAGTTATTGCATGTTATTGGAGAGGAGCCTCGATTTGAACAATTGTTTTGTTCTGATAATATTCCACTCACTTCCAGGTCTCCACAATATTAAAGTTCTCTTTTTTGAATAACACTTCCATAAATCCATGGATTTAATACAAGATTAACTTTTATCCTGCGATTAATATTAAAATTGAACAATTTTCAGGCTTAATTTATAAACACAGATTTAATTTAGTTCAAAATCGATATTTACGTATCTCCTTCCTACTCATTTGTACAAAAGTGAACGAACTTAAATATTAGATATCGATGGGTGTCACATCAAATGAAATTCGATCAATCAGTATAAAAAAAATCATCATTGATAAAAGAAAAATCAAATCAGCATAGTGCAGTGGACGGACGCCTTTCAACTTAAAAAAAGAATGCATTAAGTGTTGAGATAATAACTCCAAACAATCTTTAATTATCTTCCTATATGTATGTACAGCACACATTACAGCCATTTATGGGTTGAAACAAAGCGGGAGAAAGAGAGAACGACAAAAACAAGAAGTTAAAGCACTTGATTCAATAAAAGCTTGTGATGTCATTCTCAACAGCACACATAACAAAACAATTTTTTTTTTATTTCTACCCCGAACATACAATGAGTATACTCACAGCACATTATTCGTGAGCTTGCAAACTTTTGTGAGAATGTGCTCATTTCATACATTAAAGTGATGCGATCACGGTACCTTTTTGAGTATGCTCAGTGAGCACATTCCTATGTGCCATGCATTAAGCTCACTGAGTAAACTCATAAGCATACTCAAATGAGAAAGCAACATGCTACACGCAACATTTTTTATTGAATGTACTTATGAACATACTCAAAGAGCTTATACTCATGAAGATACTCAAAAGATATATGCTTAGTGAGTTTATTAATGAGTATATGCTCATCTGAGCACGCTCATGAATGCAATCAGTTAAAGTCACAAAATTAATTAAGTTTAATTTGAGTTTTATAAGGATAATTCTGTGAATAATTTTGGAAGAGCTAGAAATTATTATTAACATTTTATCTCAAATACATAAGAAGGAAGTTTTAAAAACCGGTCACCCATCCTTGTAGAAAAACCTTTTGCGTTGCTTAACTTCTGTCACCTCACACTTTTCCTTGGAGCAATTTTCTGTAAATATATAATAATTTTCACATGGCAAAACACATACTTAAATTATTATATTATTACAGGCAAACTAAGTTCTTTGAAGTTTGATACGCTACTTAATTGAACTATATTTTTATGAAATATTTGAGTTGATCAGAGCACGATCGTGAGAACATATTATGAAAAATGTCGACCAACTTAAAATTAAACTTAGAATACATTTTTATGTAAGTCGATATTTTCAAAAATGTCGAACAGCTTAAAATCGAACATCGAATACATTTTTATATTAGTCGACATTTTCAAAAACGTCGACCAACTTAAAATTGAACAAAGAATACATTTTTATGCAAGTCGACATTTTCAAAAATGTCGAACAACTTAAAATCGAACAAAAAATACATTTTTATGCGAGTCGACATTTTTTAAAAAATGTCGACCAACTTAAAATTAAACTTAGAATAAGTTTTTATGCAGGTCGACATTTTTTGAAAATATTTTATGAATTCAAATATTAGTTCCATGAAAGCTAAAAGATTTTGATCGTGCTTAATTCTTATAGTTTTTTAAAAGCAAAGTAATTTTTAATTTAATTCCTTGACATTTATTTCAGAAAACTTAAAATTGTAAAAAGTTTCGTACATTTTGGTATTACATATCTAAAATATTCAACATTTGCTTTTAAGTTGGTTGACAATTTTTTAAAAATAACATTTTAAAAAATGTCGACTATCATTAAAATATATTCTAAGTTCGATTTTAAGTTGTTCGACATTTTTGAAAATTGGTTGACATTTTTGAAAATGTCGACTTACATAAAAATGTATTCTAAGTTCGATTTTAAGTTGGTCGACATTTTTGAAAAATCATATAGATATAATTATGTTCATTATATGCTCATGAGTATGTTTAAGAAGTGTATTCATAAAAGTAAATACCCATGAGTATGTTCTTATTATTCTTATGAGAATGTTCAGTAAGTGCACTCATACGAGTGTATTCGCATAAGTATGTTCTTAATATTCTCATGAGTACACTCGTTGAATGTACTCACGTGAGCTTATAAATTTTTTGCAAAAAAATAAAGTGAGTACATTCGTAATGAACTCCTGAGCATGCTCAGTTGAATGAGCTTGCATGAGTATAATTTTTGAGTAGACTCACTTATATGCTCACTTTTCTGAGCATGCTCTTTGTATGTTCGGGTACGTCTTTGGTACGTTTAAATTGCAATTAATAATTAAAGAATTCCTCATCAACTGAGTCTATGATTTATAAATAGTCAACTTTAATGAAAAGCGACGATTCATTAAATTATTTTTAATTCATTCGATATTATCTGATATCGTGCCAAATAATTAAAACAATAACAATATTCAAATAAAATATTTTCTTGCTCTCTGTGAATGATCGTCCGTTGTCTACTTTTTTTTTCGTCACCGTCTTGAGTCATTAAAATACTTTTTTCGTCATTCCTACTCATCATGTTTGAGATTTCTTATAGAAAAACTTACGTGGGAGCATAAGATCAAGTAAATATTTTTATTTTAATATGGCCATAATTCGAGCTTTCTCGATCTATTTCCAATTAAGTAATATCAAACACGTGGGCTTAAAATATAGAGCTATGAGAAATCTCCGTTTAGATTTATGATGTCATGATTCCAGATTTTTAACTATTTAACGGATTATTAAAATTCAAAATTTATGCTCACAAATTTACAATTTTAAATCAAGAAAAAAAGGCATTTTGATGAACATAATACATGTGATTTCATAAGAAGACTCCTCGTCATGAAGAAGAAGCTTATTTTCTTTCTATAACAAGTGAATGACAAGCCAAAAAATAAATTTTAAAAGATTTTAAATTTATAACGAAATTTTAAAATTTGAATTTTTGCATCAAAAGATGCGAAAATTTCAAAAATATATCAACGGAATTAATGCAAAATGTTAATTAATGTAGATATTAGCAATATGCCGATAGTGCATTAATAAGTACGGTTTACAGAAGTTGTAATGCGCATATTCTCTCACGAATTTTCTCAGTCTCTCACAGAAAAATGTATAATTAAGGTTTTAGAGAAGAAATATTTTCAGTATATTTTTAGCGCTCGAAGCAACAAGATTAACACAATAATTCTCAGCATATAAAGCTTATAAAATTTCAATACTCATTAAGTAGATATTGAAGAAGAAAGAAAGATAATTTTATTTTATTACAAAGATATCTTAACGAGTGACCTTTACGGAAAGCTTTTGAAAAGTGCAATCAAATTAACTTTGTGTCATAAATAAGATAATTTAAAAATAAATATACAGAAATGGCAGAAAACAAGAGAAATATTCCAATTCAATTCAATCGTGATTTTAGCGTAATTGATTCAGAATTCGGACAAATCCGTGAGAGATTTGATCAAGAAATGCGTAGAATGGAAGACGGTACATGATACAAATAAATCTACTCGTAATTAAGTTTTTGCTAACGTCAAAAAATCTCTTTTCATTCTTGCAGAGATGAACAAATTTCGCAGTGAACTCATGAATCGTGAATCCAATTTCTTCGAGACAACTTCAAGGTGAGTTCTAGTTATGGCTATTATTTGCTTTATTATTTTGTACAAAATCCAAAAAAGAAGAGTTTCCACACACATAATAAGAATATTCTTGCCTCTCTCATCGCGCTAGTTTATATCCATCTAAAGCCGGTATATGGCACTTTTTACGTACACACAATGAACAAGGGTAAATAGAGTACAGACGATATACTTTTTTCCGATGAAAGAGAACAATTGGCTGAAAGTACATCATATTGTGTAGATATATAAAGCAACAGCGGCAATGGAATGTCACATACTGTCTTTTTAAGACGTTTATTTTTTCATTGAGTTAATTTTCTGGCTGCTTTAATGCTCTTACTGCCTTTCGCAATTTATTTTCATTTCATTCAATGCCATCATGCATTCTTTCAAATATGAATATATATCTCTTTTTTTTTGTCGAGTGACTTCCAAATATGGTAACATATCAAAGAGCCCATTCAGAGATACATACTTAGAAACACTTATTGCCTTCCACGAAAGTTATTTGCTTACATACATAATATTATATGTATTTTCGGAACTTGCGTTGGTTTAAACCAGTTTCATAATGTAACTGCCAAATATAAATAAATAACTTACTGCACTTGCTTAAATATTTAGTTGTCCTTAACACATGTGTAGGGTGAAAATCAATAAGTTCTTAGACATAACATCATAAAACCTTCCCCCAATGCAATCGGAAATCCAACAATTATTGACGAGATAAAACTGCTGAAAAGTAGTCGAGAGTGAAAACATTTTCAATTCCATTTGTTTATTTGAAGACACTGCTCATAAATGAACGAGGAAAAAAGAAGGAAAGAAGACGAAGAAAATTTTTGTGGGATTTTGAAATATATATATAAAAATTTTCTGCTGCACGATGTGGCAAACTAAAAATAAACCCTCAAAAAAGACGAATACTCATTTCTTGCTTACATCTTGATGATGGATCGAATATGAATTTTTCATGTTTTTAACTAAGTCAAAAAGAAATCTGTAAATTTTCTTAGAAATTCTATAAAATTTGATTCAAGTCAGTCGTCATCAGCACGTGAATATGCTCTAATGGTTGTTTATTACTTGAATCTGCGCGCATAAAGGATGACTCATACATATTTCTGTGTATTTTCTTCTTAAACGATATTGCTTATAAAACATCAGACAAGAAGAAGCTGTGAGAAATATGCAGATTACTTTATTGAAAGGTCGCTAAAAGGGTGATTTTTTTTAAATTTGAACAAAATTCAGCCTCAGCAAGATCTGAGGCTTGTGTTGATCTGTTTCAAAAATGTTAGATTTTAGAATGGAATTGGTTTAAATGAATTTAAAATAATTTAATCTGCAATAGATTTGTGTTAGCTTATAAGGGAGATCTTTGAATGAAGCTGTTTTTTGTTTACAAAATAAATGTAGATGGCTTTCCTAATCGTTTTGATTAGATGATCCACTCTGTGAATCGATCAATATCTTTTTTAATTCATAACATAATGCACAAAACTAGTTCACAATCAAATAAGCCTTTTTAACAACTATGCATCCTTACAAAAAGATTAAAAACATTCTTCAAAACTCACTAAAGAGAGTTTCCCCAAATTGTCCAAATACAAGTCATTATTCTTAAAAACAACATCGATAAAACCCTGAATTGCTTTGCCTTTAAAGTACAACGGACTGATTTAAATTTCACAATTTAAAACTTTCGCTTTTCCGGCATAAAGGAATTTATGCTGTTGTCCTAGTTTTCCAGTTTCGTTCAAAACAGAAAATCAATAAATCAAGTCCAAAAGGAAATTTTTTTTTAAAATTTTCTGAAGCAGCAGTGTGAGTTCCATAAATCAGTAGATATCGCATGTTGTAAGTCACGCAACAATCCTTACGAGACATGAGTGTCCAAAAAGACATTTCAATTATAAGCAAATGACTAAAAGAAATGAAAATTCTTATGCAAAGTATTATGAATTGGTGCTTAATGGAAATGTAAAATCAAATTAATGATCTCGATCGTCTTCTTCTCACTTCTTTCCTCGTCCGCAGAAATTCACTTTCATTTGCCATTCCTATTATTGCTTGCTTTGTGGCTGGCCTGAGAGAATGAAATAAAATTAATGAACAACAAGCGGTTCATGTTCAAAAAAATAAATTCTTCTTCTTTCACATCTACTTTATTCACCTTAAGATATATACTTTGCATGTGCGCTACATAAGCACAGCAGATCGTCATTATAAAATGTGTGCCTGCTTTTTTATTGTTGTTAAAAAACACTTGTTGGCTAATTCTCAAAAAAAAAAGGAGAGAGTAGAGATATGTTTATGAATTTTTCGGGCTGTATTTATAGATTTTAAGCGATTCATAACATTTACATTCAAATAGTGATGAGTTATCTTAAACAGGCCACGAATAATTGAGGTTCTACGATGCTTAATGTCAGTGTTCTAATGAAGAATTGTCTAAAATCGAAACGTCTTTGATGACGTCATTGTATAAGGACTAAGATAAAAGTGAATAACGTACAAAACAGTACAGTGCAAACGACTATTGTGATCATTGGCAGATACAATCTACAAAACCACAAAAATTGACAAATTTGCATTAAGTATTTTTTAATGATCATTAACCTTACGCCACTGTGTGGAGATTATCACTCCTACTAGGTCATGCGATTATCAGCTCAGAAATAATATGAATTTATTATCATCACACGTGACTTTTTTATGCTGTTCTATATTCTGTCAACTGTGAAATTGCTGTGCAAATTTATTTATCGTGTATGTAAATTTACCACAATTCTTTGGATCTTTACACTGATTGCACGTAATAATGTTAATTTTAAATGTTTTAATAGAAATTGTGTAGGAGATGGGATATGAAATATGAAAGTTTTTGGTGTAAATAAACCCACGTAGATCTTCATTTGAAATATTTACGACAATAATCATATTTATTGTCCGATCTTTTACAATTTAATAATCATTTATTGTTATTCATTGTAATAAATTGTACTTAAAATCGTTTGCGATGGTCGACTTTTGGATGTAGATTGTAAATCGATATTAAAACTGTATTAAGGATCTTTGGTTGTTAACTTCAGATTGGAAACTTAAGTAAAATAACTGATTTTCTATGAATCTATTTCTTCTTATCATTCCAAACAGTCGTGAGGGCTGTACAATTTTTGATAATTTTTTACAATCCACTTAAGTTTCACAAAAGTGTCGATCAAATCGTTTACGACTAAAAATTATGTTGCTGATCGTGATTGATGGTCACATTTTATGAGCCAGTTCCAAAAAATCATGTTAATTCTAAAAGCTTTGATTATGATTGATGGCATTTATTACAATAATCGCCATGAACATACGACTTTTGTTATTTATTATTCAACGAATTTGAACAAGCTACTTTGGATTTAACGAGTGATTGTCATCAGTGATCACACTTGAATTGCAAATATTATCTGTCAATTGTTGGATTACTATTGCTGTCGACATTTCTTTTATTTCAATACATTGCAGACTTCCAAAAAAGTAACAAGTCAAGTGAACGACCCTAAAACCATTTTCATATTTTACCATAGACGTCTTTGATTGGAACTTAGTATGTATCTGATAAGAAAATGTTCTTTATCACTGCAAGTGCTTATCCTCAATTCAGCTATTTGATAATTATCTTATCAGTTACTTTGATAGACCAGGCACTGAAAAATTCGTCCAAAAAATAACACTTCAATGAGGTTGACGACTCAAAACAAAATTCTGTTTTAAGTCTGACCTTCTATCGCATAGTCCTTAGCACAAACAGATTAAACAAGCCGCTAATTTGCTTAGTTTTTCTACGCTAATTGAACGATGATGTCATCATTATTCAAATATAGAAAATGCAAAGTGATTCTACAGACACTTGTTAGATATTTCATCTCGAATTATCGACTATATAGTCAGTTACGATATTGAGCTTTAAAAATAGAAATTGGATAACACGGACGTAGACATTAGTGCATTAAATATTGATTTATAGCCAGCGGTTTCCTTTTTACAAAACTCAATTTATGCTGAATATGGGCAACATGAATGGTGATGAATAGTTCATAAGTATATAATTACGTCATTGTAGCCAACACGATCATTTTGTGAATGAATGTTTTTTCCAAGTATTTTTTGGGATTTAATGGAATAAGAAGAATCTTTGGAATGATGAATTTAGCAATTTTACGCTATTTCTAACAGTTTCGTATGAGAATGATCATTAAATATCTTGATATATACGCCCAATAAGACTATCTTGTAAACATGTGGCGTACGGTATGATTGCCTTATATGAACATGAAATTCGCGTTGAATTTGATCGCTTTTCGTAGATTAATGTTAATTTACATTCAAAACATTAAAAACGTGTGTGTAGGAATGCTTTAAATATTTTTAAATTCAAAATACAACAATCAATCTTTATCAGAAAATTAAAATCGACACTTTAGTTGACCCCTTTTTAAACAAAAATTGTAGAAATTATTCTTAACTGGAAACTCTTAACAGCTATGGTTGATTAACAGATTATTTAATTATTTCGTTTTCTTATTACTTCATTTCTCGCTTATTAGTTTAAGAATTTTGTTTGGTTATTTTTCGTTAATTTAATTATGAAGTCAGCTTCGTCGAACTGAATAAGCATATTGTTCTTCATAGAACTTTGTATTCATGTCGTAAAAATAAATTTGCAGCATAGCAAATCTTGTTTGTAAATTAGCTGCTTATTAATAAATTCCAGTTTTTGTTTTGAGATAAACTATCTTTTTATACTTTTAACAATTTCTTAATATTCAAAATTTCGCGTCACTTTTTGCATCTTTTCCAAGCTAATTTGAATAAAATTAAACCGTTATTTTTTAATTAATTTTTATTCATTATGGTTTTTGCTTTGGAATAAGTCAAATTCGAACCAAAACTTGCGTTTTTAATAATAATATCCAAAACTAGTTCCACTAAGCTGACAATCCTAATTAATCTTAAGTTTTAGTAGATTAATTCTTATAAAATTTAATACTTTAATTATTACTCTATAATAGGATAATACTAATCAAAAAACGATAAAAATTCTTTTTCCTCTGCATACCTTCTTTTTGGCAAAAAATATCAACAATAAATGCTTATTTTACATAAAATAAAAAATAACAAATTTCTAATGCAAAATGCATGGGATTTTTAAAAAATTGTAATTTTAATGCTGCTTTCATGGAATTGAAAAATTCAGTACAACAACAAAGAAAACAACAACTAAAAGGTATAATCAAAATTTTAATTCTAAAGACTTACTTCCTGGCCTTGCAAGATGCTAATTTTAACAAAATTTTTGTGTTTATTAATTTTCTGAATAAATTGACTAACCAGAGGTTCCAAAAATTTGGTACATAAGCATTTTCAACACTTCCAATAAATTTCTCGAAAAAGTCGCGTATATACAACAAATATGGTAATTAAGTGCAAATAAATGACGATCTTTGTTTGCTAATTTGTTAGCATATTCCAAGCCTTTTTTGGAGCCTCTAAGACTACCTTATAAGTCATTATGAATCTATGAAACCTATTCTAATGTATGTTAATGTAATTATTCCACTTTTCCTCTATCTATGCACACCCACATTTGTCAATCGAGTGCTCTTTTACTTTTGTATGTTGACAGCAGCACCTACAATACTAATTGCATCACATGAGATCATAAGTCGTATTTTTGAACATATTTTCATTCTCTTTTAATTTCTTTTGCCGCACCCACACGACTCATGTCAAGCTTCGATTTTTCATTTGTGATAAAAAAAAGTTTAATGTTTTTATTCTTATTACTTAATTGCATTATGTGAGACTGACAATGTACACAATTTGGATGAGAAAAGAGCAACAGATGTCTGGCTTAAGATAGAAAAATCCATTTATTTCATATTAAATAATTGAGACTACGTGTCAGAATTAATTTTTTTTTTCTTCACTCTGTGGCAATTCTGGGATGTTTTTAGAGAGCGTTTAAGCTCTTTTCGATATGAATCCTCTAAAGAGAACGATTCATACTAATTCTATCCTACATTCGAGGGCGGGAAGGAGGTAATGGTAAAGTCAATAACGATTTGTTTTCACTTCTTTTGTCAGTTTGTCTCTCCATGGTACTCTAACCTCAGATTTTAAGCCTTATCGATATAATGGTCTGCTTATCAAAACACCTCTTAAAACGCGATAATAAAATTTCCATCGTGGAGGTACGATTGCTATTCCTAAACCTTCTGTATTCTTCATACTACCTCAGAACAGAACACAAACTCATTACAGACATAGCAAATAGAGTGATCTCACGCTACACATTTTCAATTATCTCACTCATCTTAAACCAACAACTTCAACAAAATTGAAATGAAAAAAATAGTCGAGATAAATAATTTTATTTTTTTTTGTGATGGAATTTACGTCCGTTTCAAGGGTGTTCTGTCCATAATTTATAATGAAGAAGCTATTTCTCCATGTAATGAATACTGCCATGCACATTTTTCCGCTTATAAACGTTTGCTACGCTATATAAACAAATCGATCTGATATAACTTTTGTTGGATAGAATGTAGGGCAGAAAGGATGGACGTTGTGGGAGTTTATCAATAGTTTTTTAAATGGATGAAAAGTTTTGTAGGCGGAAAACAATTTTTCTTCTTTTATAAGGACACCTTACCTCCTTTAAATCACTCAAATGCACTGGACAGAAAGTTTAGAATCAGCACCAGAGTCAGTGAATCAGTGAATTGGGCTTTTATATATTAGATAATTTAGCACCCAATCCAGTTAAATTAATATATTTAGACCCTTATTACCAGAAAATCAACCAGCAATCATCGAGTTTTCATCAGCAAAAAACCACTTAATTAAGCCGTAATCCCTTCATCCAATTCAGACAGAGCTACCATAGCTATCAAAGTTCAAGTTTTCGTTTCTATTGTCTGACTCATCAGCAATTATCTTGCTTTCTTAATTTATTTGTTTTCCTTCCTCCCACTGTTTAATTTTACTCATTTCATTTTGCATCGGTGATGTCATGAATGATCTAAGAAATTCCACTGTGCTGTGCTGTGTTTTTGAGAAAATTCAAGAAGTAATTAGCTAGACACATAATTTCGTATATGAAAGTGAAAGAACGAGAGAGAGAGTTTTTTTTGTGCTGTGCATGTCTATAAATAGAGAATAGGACTCGATAATGAACCAAGAGTGGAAAATCACAGATGAAATTTTCAATAGCAAACGTGCAAGTGGAATTTGTGGATTATTATTCCTTCTTTTACATGTTCTATTGACTAATTTTACATGCTTTTATGACTTGCGATTTCTATTTATATTAATTAATGATTTTTTTTTTCTTGAATTTTCAGTTCAACAACATCAAACAACAGTCTTTCTAGAGCACAATCAAATGTATCTGATATTAATTCACCATTAATCCAAGATGATGGAGATAATAAGGTTTTAAAGTTAAGATTTGATGTCAGCCAATATGCACCTGAAGAAATTGTTGTAAAGACCGTTGATAATAAATTGATGGTAAGGCACAGCATTCAAAGTCAAAATCATTCCAAAAATTCCAGTTATTTGAAAATCTTCCAATTTTTTGATAATAAGCTTGAAAATCCTTCCGACAACATTGGAAAGTTTGAATGAATGGAACAGAATTTAATTACACCAATAAATTGTTCAATACTAATTTGTCCCGTTTATCTGCTTAATTATTTTTAGGTACATGCCAAGCACGAAGAGAAAACAGACACAAAGAGCGTATACCGTGAATACAATCGTGAATTTTTGCTCCCTAAAAACGTCAATCCAGAATCTATCCGTTCATCTCTCTCAAAAGACGGTGTTTTGACTGTAGACGCTCCATTACCAGCAATTGCTGGACCCGGAGAGAAAATGATTCCAATTGCACATAATTAAAACAGAAGTTCCAATGTTCAACAGACATATAACCAATGTGAAGGAGGAATAACATTATGTCATGCATCATTTTTTTGTTACTAGAATTTTTAAAGGCGCTTAATTTCTTTAGTTTCCATCCTAGAATTATTGTTTCTATCCTCTTTTTACATACTTTTTTTTGACAAGAAAAGGCTTGCTTTTATTTTTTATGACTATACGTACTTATAAAATTCTCATTTATTTCGAATTAATTAACAAGAAATAAAGATACAAAAAAATTATGGAAAATGAAAATTTATTTTCTAGGCAATAAAAGCTTTAATTGTGATTTATTCATAAGAATTTATAGTATTAAAATTTTATTTTCAGCACTTGGCAATCTGAAGTGATGTTTTTTCCAAGGTTTAACAAAAATCAGCGATTTTCACTTCTAGGATTTTACTAGATTTTTTTATTGGCAATTGTTTCTCTCAGATTCCAAAAATAATTGTTCCTAGAGATAACCCCACTTCAGATTGATCCTGTCCTATGTTCCAAATTTCCTTCCAGTAATACTCGAATGTTTTAAATGCTTAAACTTGGACAGAATCTCTTTGTTTCTTTCAATTCCAACGCCGTTCATGATAAGTCTCTCAATATTTGGCTGGTACTGCAATATTTGCTCTAAAATATCCTGATCTTCAGGTATGACTTGACAGCTAGCTGAAACATCCAGTTCAATCAAGTTTATGCAATTTTTAAGGAACTGCTGAAACTCAAAATATCGTAATTCATAGCAATAAGTTGCATCCAGTTTCTCGACATGCTTCATACTTTTAAAAAATGCTCCGCTCATTTGCACATTTCCAGCAAGCTTTAGTGTTTTAATATTTTTAAATTTTTCTCCATCCAGGCAGTCTATACGCGATTCGCTAATATTACATCGTGACAAATCAAGATATGTAAGATTAGTAAAGCACTTTTGTAGTTCCCGGAATTGATTGTTGTCAAAATGGAGATAATTAAGTGATAGCTTATTTAATTTCATGCAATTATTTGATACGGCATCAATGACTGTCTGTTTAATTCCTTCATCCATAATTCCTCCGCCCGAGAACTCAAAAGATCTTAGCGTATCTCCAATTCTCTCGAAAATTGCATCAAGATATTCCGCCCTCAAGTATCTCAATTCAATTCTATACGAATGGAATTTCTTGGTGCTGTATATTTCTTCACATGTTACCTTAAATGCACTGCATGTCTCTTCGATATCGATGAGCTCATAAATCGTGAAGTATTTGAAAATATTATTCAAGCAATCTTGATTTAAGCACAAAATTGAGGTCATTTTTGGAGAGAACTGAATCTTAATGCCTTTCCTTTACAAGCTTCAAAACTGACTGCTTGATTGTATTTACTAATACAAATGACTCATTCGGCGATTACTGTGAAAATGATGTTACCTTGACCAATTTTCTTTTCATGCTCAAGGGTATGTCTGAACTGTATTATTGCTGACTGCTTCTGTATATCCTGACTAATGAAATGATTCAATTTAACAATTCCTTATACTTTTCCTCATTCACAGCACTTCTGAAATTTCCCTAGAACAGCTGTTTTTCCACAATTGAAAATGCAAACGAACTTCAAAGACAAAATCTCTTAATCAATAATTTTATTATTCATTTAAAGACGAGTTCAATCAAATACAGCAGAAATAATAATGATAATTGTTAAGTAATTAAAATTCTACAGATTAAAATGATATTTTTTTCATGATGCATCTCTATAAATGTCTAAAATATTTCCTCAACCTCACGTTTCTTGTTCTTGTGGGTGTACATTTTTACGTACCCGTCAATCAAATGCTTAATTTTGGCTGGATTTATTTCGCCTGACTTGTTGTGACAAATCTAAATGATCAAAAAAGAAATGATTTAAGGAATAACTTGCATATTAGTCATGAAGTATTAAAAAACTTACCTTTGGAACAGCTTTCCTCATGATTTCTTTGTATTGTTCCTTAGTAATTTTCCTATTTGCATAATACGGCTTGATTACCAACTTTACTTCTTCCACAACTCGTTCCTGTCTCTTCAACTTATTTAAATACTTATCAGGATCTGACGAAGCTGGAATATTAAAATGTAGCAGACAAATAATTCAAAAAAATTAAATAAACTCACATTTCTTAGAGCTTTTAGCTTTTTCCAAGAATGGTGGAGTTGAGCTTCCAAACAAATCATTAAAAATATTTTCCGATTGTTTATCATTGGCCTTTGTCTCATCCGTAACTTCCATACTATTATCTTCAGGCTGATCATCATAATCGTTGCCAGGAGAATAAGGTGATTCTATAGCCATATTAGGAGGAATCTGTATGACATCATTTTGAAGAACTTCAACTTTATTAAGTGCTGGCGCGGCAAAAACTTTATCAAAAATGTTATTAACAGATGAACTTGATGACACCAAATTTTCTTCATTGTTAGTGATTAGAGGAAGATTGAGGCTTTTAATTATAGCAGGTCCTAGTTTGTTGGTAAAATCTATACTATTTTTACTTAGTGCTTTCAAAGTCGATGTAGTTGTTGTAGCTTGCGAACTCGATACATTTTCATTGGATGGAGAATTAAGAATATCAAATGGATCATAAAGTTTGGTCGAGTCTGGAGATTTTGGTGCTTGCTTTTCGCCCTCACTATCACTTAATTCAATCACATTGCTTTCTTTCTTATAATCTGGCGTTAATTCTCTGAATGGTGACCGTGCTAAATCGATTATTGCAACAGGTTTTGAACTCACATTAATTTTCTTCTTTGCTGTTATATCCACAATCGGTTCCTCATTATATTTTTCATGGCTCTTTGAATGCGTTGAGCGTGATCTTTTTTCTTCTTGATTATTATTATTATTAAAATTCACACTTACTAAAATATTTTGACCTGATGTAAACACTTCCTTTGTATGTGTAGATCTTTCTTCCTTACTACGATTTGGACGCTTCTTTTTCTTTGATTTATCACTTGTTGATCGTTCTCGTCGTCTCGGACTTTTGTCACGATAGCGATTTTGTTGTGGTGTCAAAGATCTGCTTCTAGTTCTTCTAAATTTCTTATGCTTACTCTTATGAAGCTTCTGTTTTCGCTCATTGCTTGAATCTCGTTTTGATAGGCTTCGCGAATATGACCTTTTGCGCCGTTTTTCAGGAGTCTTGGATTTTTTATGACGATCCTTGATTCTGTCTCTGTCTCTTGAGTTGCTTTTACTATGCTTACGAGCAAGTCTCTCGCGTGATCGAGTGCGACTTCGTGTACGGTTCCTTCCTGGAGTTAATTCAAATTATTGAAAAAAAACACGACTTACGTAGAAAGTCACTAGCTTCCACGTTTGACTTATGTTAGATTACAGTTCTTATATATATCACAAAACGAAAACTAGTGTATCGCGTAGAAACCCAATGCAGATATATTCACTCCGTACCATCAAAATTCTTGTGGAAAGACCAAGCTTAGCTCAATATTAATTTGAAAGGATAAATCTTGAAAGTATAAATCTGAGCTGCGCTTAATTTATGTTTGAAGGTGTAAAGCTAAACGATTCACAGCATAAGCGACCATGGACTCTTACCATAGAAAGTCTTCATCAATCAACTATGCTATCGCACAGCATAAGTTTGTAAACTAGAACGCTTAACAAAAGTTTGAAGGTATAAAGCTAGCGAGTCAGCTGAGCTTCGCTCAGCATAAGTTTGAAGGTTTATACTTAACGAACATTTTTTAAAAGTTTTTTTCAATTTTTTCATCCAAAGTTTAAATTTATAAAAATAAAAGTAAACTTTTAGAACGATGCAGCTGTTCTATAAAGCAGCACGGATCTAAATTTGAAATCTGATTTTTTGCAGAAAAAGTGAAATTTCACGCACAAACTTTTCATTTTTATATATGATTAGATATGTTAAGCTATCTTGCTCTAGTTCCTCGCAAAATTCGAAAAACTGATCTTTCAATCTGAACAAAACTAATAGATTCACACGTGAAAGCGGTGTGAATTATATTAGTGTTTTTAAGTGAACGATGTCCTTTTATTATCATTTCCACTATTTTCAATTATTTTTTCCAAATAATTTCAACACAATAAAAAATAAGTCAAGATTAATGATGGAGATCAAACATTAGTTAATCCGTGTTACTGGATTAAGACCAGCTACTATCAACAAAAAAATTATATCATTTTCTATCAATCATAAGTGGTTTTAGCTATTTGAATACATTTTTGACATTTTAAAAACATTGTGTGACAAGCAAAATAAATAAAATTAAACCCTCAAATCCGGTTTAAAATTAATCAAGATTTACATAAATATTTCTTAAACCCACTCAAAACCAAATGAAATGAAAATCTTTTTATTATTATTACACGCTTTTTATTGAGTTGCTCTGTTGGTTTCTTTGTATGTCACGTTCAAATCTTGCAATCGATTTTTCGACCACTTCTATTGCTCCAATCGAGCTCAAATTTTGTATACACACGTATTCCCGGTGACAATACAATATTTTAACACTTTAGGACCACACAAATGCTTAATTATAGTACAATTTTAATAAAACTTTTTTATATGGGAGAAAAATCCAATGTCAATGATATAAAATTTTGATTTGTTTAAAATATTATACTTGAAATGCTCAAAAGTCATTTATATGATTCACTATAGTTTAATTAATATTACTAATTATTAATAATACTAATAATTGGAGAAGCTGAAGATTTTCTGGGAGGATGAAAAAATTGACAAGTAATTTTTTCATGAATATCCGTAAGTGAAAATTTGAATTTTCAAAAAAACCGTTAATCACAAGTCCGTTACGAATTAATGCAAAATAACTATCAATATGTGATGTGCATTTAGCACACATAATTTGAGCATAAACGTATGCTGTTTTAAATGTATTACAATATTTATAGCACTTCACCAATTTAATTAAATTGACTTCTATTTATTATCGGCTTAACGTAATTTTGCATAACATATGAATGACATTCATTGAATTTAAATTTGAAAAATCCGTTATAAATACGTTACATATAGATGTGATTTGCATCTTTATGTTAAGAATCCACACGTTTTGTAATAGGAATGGTACGGATAAACACAAAATCTTTACGATTGATTTTTAATGTTCTTTACTCATGAATGTTTTAAAAAACACAGAAAACGCACATAATTGAAGTTCAGGACATTTTTTGGAAGAGTTTTATGTGTTTCCAGGTATGACTTAAATTATAAAAACGAATGAAAAATCCTGACAGTCGTTACTAATTACCCACTAAAAAATGGGAATATATTAAAAGTTGAACGAAACGAAGTGGAGTTGAATTTGAATTGTTGTGGTCAAAATTCGATTAAAAGATTGAGACTAAAAAGTAGCAAATAAAAAAACGTTAAAAAAAACTTTTTAAAAAACACGCTTTTTTCCCGAAGACTAAAAAACAAATAACATTTTTTTCTTGAAGTTAAGTCTGTTGTTGAGAATAAAAACGAAGCGACCAAAAAAGGAGCAAATAAAAAAATGTTAAAAAAAACTTTTTAAAAAACACGCTTTTATCAAAAAGACTAAAAATCAAAAAGTTCAAAATAAAATAAGGTCACACTTTTAGCGAATCAGGATTTTAAAAATTTTCTTGTGACAACTAGAAATGTAACATAAATTTTTTTCAAAATATTGTGATTAAGTCCAAGAACACAATGACTCGAAAAGCGTGGGGCTTTGAGATTTGACGCTTCTCTTACTTAAGAACTTAGTTGAACTAAGAAATGCATCCTTAAATTACGCCCCACGCTTATACACTGGTGGAAATTGAAATGAGACACCCATGTTTTTTATGTGAAAGTCTTACAAATGAAAGATTAAGCCTTACTTGTTGTATATCATTGGAAAGAACTTTAAAAAATAACTTAAGTACAGGAACAATGTACTGACTGAAAATGTAGCAGTTTAAAGTTATTTACAAAATATGATTTTTGAGGTGGAAATTGAAATGAGACACTTTGAAAAAATTTACAAAAATCTTCCTCAATTTTGACTTTGACTATACATATTGTATATAGACTTGTAGATTTTTATTTTCTTAACAATACTAGAGCATTCTAAAAAATTTTGGAACTTCCAATCATCTAATATCCTCAAGAGAAAGTAGTGAAAGCCAGGTTTTTTGTTTTCATCAAATATTTTTATGAATAATCATCTATTAATAACAAATGAAATCTAAATATGTAGATTTTTAAATGCTCTTTCAGATAAAGAATTGATATTTACCTCAACATAAGCTTAAATGACAAAAATTAATTAAAATGCTTGTAACGAGTGAGTACGGATATGAAAAAATTTATTTTTCTCTTATTTTGGTTAATCAAAAAAATCTGAAGTTTTCAGGACATATTCTGCATTGCCTTTACTATAAGTTTTTAATGCCATATATTTTTTATCTCCATCCATAAACGCTAGGATTAACATTTAAGTCATGATGAAATCCCATAATATCAAATTCCATAAATTTTTCACATTATTAATGCAAAAATTCAAATAGAAAAATTCCGTTAAAATTTTCTTATTTTTATCAATTATTAATATTTTATGCACATAAAACGTATGTATGTAACATTTAGAGAATCATGCACTATGTTTAAGATGCTATAGTATCCTTATAATTTCAGGACAATTTAATTATTGTTTGTTTACATCATTAATTTTAGGCTAGAAAAAAGATGCAAAAATAAATTCAAAAATTTTGACCGTTACAAAAACACTAAAACCTAGTATAATTAAATTATGCTGATAGCATAATATCTTAAAGATAGTGCATGACTCTCTAAATGTTACATAAATACGTTTTATGTGCATAAAATATTAATAAATGATAAAAATAAGAAAATTTTAACGGAATTTTTCGATTTGAATTTTTGCATTAATAATGTGAAAAATTTATGGAATTTGATATTATGGGATTTCATCATGACTTAAATGTTAATCCTAGCGTTTATGGATGGAGATAAAAAATATATGGCATTAAAAACTTATAGTAAAGGCAATGCAGAATATGTCCTGAAAACTTCAGATTTTTTTGATTAACCAAAATAAGAGAAAAATAAATTTTTTCATATCCGTACTCACTCGTTACAAGCATTTTAATTAATTTTTGTCATTTAAGCTTATGTTGAGGTAAATATCAATTCTTTATCTGAAAGAGCATTTAAAAATCTACATATTTAGATTTCATTTGTTATTAATAGATGATTATTCATAAAAATATTTGATGAAAACAAAAAACCTGGCTTTCACTACTTTCTCTTGAGGATATTAGATGATTGGAAGTTCCAAAAATTTTTAGAATGCTCTAGTATTGTTAAGAAAATAAAAATCTACAAGTCTATATACAATATGTATAGTCAAAGTCAAAATTGAGGAAGATTTTTGTAAATTTTTCTAAAGTGTCTCATTTCAATTTCCACCTCAAAAATCATATTTTGTAAATAACTTTAAACTGCTACATTTTCAGTCAGTACATTGTTCCTGTACTTAAGTTATTTTTTAAAGTCCTTTCCAATGATATACAACAAGTAAGGCTTAATCTTTCATTTGTAAGACTTTCACATAAAAAACATGGGTGTCTCATTTCAATTTCCACCAGTGTAGAGTCATTGTGTTCTTGGACTTAATCACAATATTTTGAAAAAAATTTATGTTACATTTCTAGTTGTCACAAGAAAATTTTTAAAATCCTGATTCGCTAAAAGTGTGACCTTATTTTATTTTGAACTTTTTGATTTTTAGTCTTTTTGATAAAAGCGTGTTTTTTAAAAAGTTTTTTTTTTACGGTTGATTTTTCTCCTTTTAATTACCTTTAATTTAAGATATCACACGGAAAAAATGGATTTGAAAATTAGGAGATATGACTGATTTACGTAGCCTTCGTAGCTTTCTATTGATATCCATATGATTGATTTTGAGTTGCGAGCTGAAGGTTGGGTGACAAATTTTAAACCATTTTTGATTTCGTAATGAATATAGGGAGGATTAAAATAAATCCATCGGATTAAATTTTGAAATCGTTTTAGCTACGCAAGTGTTGATGGAAGTGGGGCATGTTTAGTATCGTTGGATAGGTCTTTTCAAGCCCTACATTACAAAAAATGTTTCATTTAATAATTTTCTAAAACAAATGCACCAGAGCAATTTTAATTTAAGCCTCCAAAAAAGCTTGTTTTTTCGCTCTAATGGATCAGGACTAGCACCAAAAATTATGATGTTGGTATCAATCGATTCCTAAGAAGATGTAGAACATTTAAACTATCAGCTATTTTTTGATTTAAGGCTTTAAAAAAAAGTTATAGCAAATATACTGTTTGTATAGAGATTTCGCGAAAATCTTCCATCAAGCACTACGTCTCAAAAAAAAAGTTCATGCAAAGCGCCATAAATTTCACCCTACTAGACGAAAAGGGCTAAATTTTGACATATAAATCATTACTTTTGGATAATACGGTGGACCTGTAGGTTGGGTGACAAAATTTGACCGACATAAAGAAACACCTTCCGTGTTCTACGCGGAAGCTAATTTAATACATTTGATTTAAAATGTTAATTTATGGGGATGTTATTTATGATTTGAAAGAGTTTTAAGTACGAGTCATTTTCTAAAATTTGGTAAAGCTTGAAGAATTATTTAAGCGTGTTTTAAAAGCTCTTTGATTTTGGCAAATCGTAAACAAATGATAAAAACTTCCAGAAAATAACTAGAAGCTAGAAACATTCCATTAGACTTTGCTGGAAATCTTGGAATGATTTTGGAATCTTTAATCTCGGGATTAAATTAAATCCCTCGATTTAAAAATAAAAATTTCACTTACCAAATCTATCTCGATTCCTTTTTGGCGATTTCTCTTTAAATCTTTCACGCACATTATACCGTTCCAATTCTCGTCGTTTATGCCTTTTGTGCTCTTTATCTCTCTTTCGTTTTTCATTTTCTTCAGCTACTTTATCATTATCTTTTGTTAATATAGGCGGCGTGTAGCTTCTTTCTTCGATAATTATTTGGTCATTTACATCATTTACGTCATTTTCTAAATCGGGACTCGCCGGTTGACTTCTTATAACTGCTGGTGGCTCTATATCATCTAAAGGATTATGCTCACCATCACTCATTTGAACTAAATCGACATTTTCTTCGTTCATCAAGTCTTGTGACTGTGATAGATTCTCATCTGAACTGCGATTGACTGAACCATAAATTGAGAAATTCGGACATATTTCAGCGTTGTTTGGCATATCCTCTTCTTGATTTACTGGTGAGTCGCCAAACATATCAAATGTTTGTTTCTTCTTTTTTTGTGGTGATTTTCTCTCATTTGACACGATATTTTCGTGAATCTCAGCAAAATTTGTATTCTCCTGTCTATCATTATTATTTGATGATGTTGGATTATCAGTGTTTTGAGCATCTAAATTAGCACTTGAATTACTGTTCATAGCTTGTTGTTCATTGTGTTGATCTTTCGGTTCATTATTACTGTTTTGTGCCGATGCTTCGTGATGATCATTTGTAGATTTCCTTGCTTTATCATTTCCAGCCTGTTTAGTCAATTTATTAGATGATATTGCTGCATCAAATGGACTCACTTCATTTAAGATTGAATCGAGGATATTTACGCTACTTGATGTCGTTGTAAAATTGTTAATTACACGCTTTTTAATCAATGCTTGACGACGAAGTGGATTTGTGTAATTTACGACGGATTGTGTTAATGTACTTCCTGAACTATTTTGTATAGCTTCATATTCATCGATTCCATCGTCGTCTGGGACATAATCCAATAAATTAGTGGGTTCAAAAATGTTAAAATTACTTAAACCAGCTAATTGTCTGCCTTTTTGTAAATCATAAACATTTGAATTTGAATTTTTGAAAGATGATGCTGAAGTTGCTTTTGAACAAACACGTCTGCCTGATGATTTTCTAGCCTTTTTAGTCTTCCTCGATTTTCTTTTCTTTCTACGAACTGTTCGTGTAGTTTTAACTGGAAACTTCTGTCCATCTCTTAATTCATATTCTACGACTTTAGTCACTCTTCTTCGTCTGCGTGTTGTTTTTCGTCGCTTCACTGGCTTTTTTGCAGGTATTGCTTGGACTGAACTTCTTCTATTTAAACCTTGTGATGTTGATGGTTGTAAATTGTTGTCAATCACAGCTGATCGCAATGTTCTGCGTGCTAATATAGCATTTCTAATCCGTTCGCTTTGTAGTGTCCTAATAATTTGTGGTTGTTGGCGATTTCTTAATCTAGTTGATGGCAATTGACCCATTTCTATCTCTATTTCATTTTGAAGGTCGTTGATCTCATCAATATCAGCTTCTTGTTCTTCACTTTCTTCCTCAGATTCGGATTCACTGTCAGTTCCATCGCAATTGATGCAATACCAATTATCTTCAGGAATTTCCAATAAAGGTGGATTCAAACAGTCCATATGAAAGCCTTAAAGAAGTTATTTAAGAGATATTATAATAATGTTGCCAAATATCAAGCTATTTATAGTTTTACCTTTATCGCATCCATCACACAAAAGCATAACATCTTCTCGTTCAGCACTTCTACAGATCTCACATTGCTTTATAGCACATAAAATAGCAATTAAAAACCATTTTGAATAAATTAGGTAATACAACTTACAGTATACTCGTTTTCGCCATTTGTGAACTCCTTTAAGCTTACTTGCTCGCCAATTCCGACGGTCCTTAATGGAACGCTTGAGTCGAAATTCTCAAAAACAATAATTTCCTTAAACTCCTTTCTGTCAATTGGGCAAGTCTTTACTACTTTTGACCATTCATGAATGCACAGGAAGCAGAATGCATGCTGACAAACTGCAGGTTTTGCGATTTCCTGACTACCAAATGATAATAAACAGATTGGACATTTTTCTGCATTGTCGCTGTTTGCGCTAGAACTACTACTCGCTCCATCAGAATCATAATCCGGTTGAGAAGTTCCAGGCAGTTCCTCTGGTATTTTATCCTGATCGGAAATATTTTTTTCTTCGTCCATTTTTATTATTTAACTAAAAAGTACTTTATTATTGAATTTTTTGCCGCTCATTCAACTTTTTATTACTTACAAGATTGCTTACTTCATAGCTAAATAAATACTTGTTGTAAATTGTAGCTTAATTAGTCAAAATTATGAAAATAATTATTTTTTATTCTTGTTTATAAGTTTTTAGAACTCGTTCAGTAAAAAATCAAAAACCCATTTCAAAATTTCAAAAACCGTTATGCTTATCTGATTAAGAGACCTAAAATCAAATATCTAAAGACCAAATGCCTGCATATAATGTGAAAATAAAGTTTTAAATCATCGTATATTATATTAGGATTATATTGGTCTTAAGTCCGAGACCGAGAAATTGTGAAGTCATACTTTTGAGGGATTATTTCATTAAGCATGAAGGTAGTTGTTTAATGACGATGATTTCTTGGATAACGTGGTTGACTGTTAAATCCAGGCTGCTGAAATAATGGCCTAAAATGTGATTGAAAAGATGACAAAATCTGTGGTAAAATTGTTGCTGAATTTCTTATATTTCTAATTGTGTTCTGTCTGAGCGAATCTGCATTCCTTAACACATTTTCACGCATTGCTTGTGCATTCTGGAAAATTCTGTTCATATTTTCAAATTGCTCGTCTCTATATCGTGGTCTATATTGATTATATGTGCGATGGTGATTAAATTGTCTAAAATTGTCATCAAATGATGATCTTTGCTCAAATCTACCGCCGTTTCCGCTATAGGCAAAGGAATAGCTTGATGAATAATGTCCATCTGAGTGACGTCTATTTCTTCTTGTGTCTTCTTCGTCGTCTGATGAATCGGAAATGACAATTTTATTCGAGTCTGAAATCTTTCGTTTCTTAGGCACTTCTGACTGTGCATTACTTTCTTCAATGATCTCTGCTATTTCTTCGTTTGCAGTTTTTTCTGTTTTTTCATTATTTACATCACTTTGCTTGCCATCAACTTCATCTGCTGACTGTATGATTTCAACACTCAATACATTTACATTTTGATCATTTTGAATAGCTTGAGAAGTTGAAGGAACTGGTTGTTCTTCCGTTGTCAAGATTATACTTTGGGTTGGTATAATTTGGCTTTCTATATCCTTTTCATTAAGCTCGTCTGTGTCCATCGACGATTCTGAGTCTAAATCTATTTCTTGTAATTTCCTTCTTATTCTTCTAGATGATTCAGAACTTTCGTCATCTGTCAAGTGACGTTTCCTAGATGAATCTTGAGAGTAACATTTATAGTCAAAGATCAGTTTTGTTACTTCCGATTCGTTTAGAAAGAATTTTAAATCGTCTTCGCAAGCAATCATTATTTTGTCACATTCCAAATCAAACCAATAGATTTGAGGCTCGTATAGTACTTCTTTGAGCGATGGACATCTGTAGTAAATTGTTTTATTGATGAATCACTGCCTTATTTCATAAGTAATTAAATTTCTTACCTTAAAAATATTTTTTCCTTTAAAACATGCAGATCTTCGGTTTTTTCATGCTTAATACAATATATTTGTGATTCTGCCGTATTTGGGCAGTTTATCAGGTAAATTTTAAGCAGTTTCATACCTGATTTCCTTGATTTTCCTTAATTTTTGTGGATTTTAATACTTCTCTAATACGCAGAATAGTGTAAACAATTCCTCTCTATCTCTTTGTTTTTGATTTGAGAGAAACAGTATAGATTCTGACAGTCACGAGCGTTTTAAACGCATTTTCTATAGCTTGATCTCCAAACTAATATAATTACTTTTGCTTAATTCCTCGATTTGAGTAGATTCGATTTGAACAGAAAATTTTATTCGATTTGAGTAAATTTCTTCCTGTTTTCTTCGATTTGAATTATTTACAAAACAAACATTTTTGATAAAAACATTTCAGCAAATATTTTTAAAACATAAATATTACTGCAATAAGCGTGATCTTATCATATTGATAGAAAAATCAATACTAAAGTTACAAAATTCAAGTAAAAACTTACAAAATCGATATAAAATTAACGGTTTTAAAAAGTTCAAATTATCAAAATTTTCATTGTTTTGATTCTTTTTTTGGACTCTTGAACAAAACATTCGATTTTGTATGGATTCTTTGCCTCGATTTGTATAGATTCGATTTGAGTAGAAATTTTTTGGAACAAAACAACTACTCAAATCGAGTATAGCGGAATATCTCATTTCTTAAAATAACGGGTTACAAAAATTCAAATTTTAAAACCATACAAATTTTTTAAATTTCAAAACATTTGTAAGGTTTTATGTCATTTTTTAAATTTATACTTTCAGTTATCTTTTCAAAAATTCATTATTTAAATTAAATTAAAAACACAATTCAAACCAGGCATAGTGCAACTTTAAACATCCGAATAAATAGCTACGAAGAGAGCGAGAGAGTTTCACATATTCTTTGTTTATGTTGTTCTTGTATAAAATAGTTTTCAGTAATTTGTAAAACATCATTCAGAACGGACGCAAAAAAATCTTAATTAACAAGAGTTATAATGAATTATAGAGCTATTAAAGTGTGTGTTTCTATTGATAATAGCGTCGAAAACTTTTACATAAAGTTTGACATCAGTAAGTTTGAAACCAGTCTTGATTATTAAGCTTAAAATTGAAAAAAGAAATTATTATGAAAAAAGTTATGAAATTTATTGATTTATTGTTTTTATGGCTTTTGTTCTAGCAGAACATTTCAGTCGCTTCTATCATTTGAGAGAGAATGTCTTTAAGCGTAATCCAAGCGTCAATTCACCAAATTTGAAAGTCTACTGGATCGGTAAGCTTGAATTTCATAATCTGACATTTTTGCTGACTATTGCGTTTTAATTTTGCTTGTATCGTGACCTGCTTGCTGTATAACATCCATACATGAGTCATATGCTTTTTGTTTTTGTGTATATTCATTCTGTATATATACACGATTCGCTCATGGAAGTTTCTATTCTTTTCTTGAAATTAATACGTGAATATTAATTCCTTTAGACGCTGACAATGACGAAATTTTGATTTCATGCGACGAAGACTTTGCTGTATATTTGGAAGAAGGAAAAGGACGTAAACTCTTTTTCAGTGTCACAAACAATAACTCTCAGAATAATGAGTCACAAGAAGAAGATTCAATTCCAATGGAATCTGAGTTTATTGAGACAACACAACGCAAATGCAAGAAAGGGTAAGTCAGGCTACATACATTACTCAAAACACTTAAAACAGTAATAAAATTTTTAATTACAATAATTAGTCATAAAGATGATGAAAAGAGAAGCCGTCGTGTTGAAAAGCTCTCAAAGAAATTAAGGCACTACGAAGAGGCATGTAAGAACGAAGAGGAACGTTCTAAATGTCGACAACCTGAAAAACGTGAAGTCAAAAACAATGAACGATTGGAAAGAGCTAGACGTCGTGTTGAGCAAATTAGGACCATTATTTCGTCCATTGATCCAGCCAATTTGAATTCATCAAATACTAATGAAGCAAATAATCCAGGACCATCAACAACTTCGAATGAAGCTACACCACAATCATCTGATTTACCATTTTCACCAGAAACAGTCCGTTTGCTCTCGAATGCAATTGCTAATTGCTTACAACCTTGTAACTTGATAAATAAAGTTTTGAATGAAGTCTATGCTATAATTCCACAAGTTATGGAACAAGCAAGTGATGTCTTAACAAGCAACATCGATCAACAAGATCAACAGCAACAAACGGAAGTTCCTAAGAATACAACAGCTACAAATACATCGAATGCTAATACTCCACTACTTGATCGTAACTCAAATCAGGAAATTGAGGAATTATTCAAGGAAGCAGCAAAGGAATTGGAAAAAATGAACGAAATTGTTAACAGCAACAAAATGGAAACATCTACATCATCAAGCTTCACTGGAATTACTCAAATCGAACGAGTTTTTAAAAATATTAATGATTCTGCTATATCTGATGCAACAATCATCGATATGAACAGCTCACGAAATTCACAAGATCAACTTGACTCTTCATTTCCTGAAGAATCTATGAACGAAGAACATTTCAAAGTTATAACTCCACCAAAATCGATGAGATCACGTGAATCGTCAATTGAGATTCATGACGTTAGTTCCGTTATGAGTGATGATTCTCGTGACTGGACACTTTTGTCACAAGATGAATTGTCTATTGAACCAGTTCCAGCACAACGAAACGTTGATCCAAAAACAGGTGCAATTCCAAAAAATATAAATCAAGTTTCAGTCGATGCTGAAATTCAAACCAATGAAGACAAAGCTGATTCAATTAAATCTGTGTCCATTGAAACTCAAACTCCATCATCCCTTTTGAGTGGTATGAATCAACAACAGTTGCAAGCTTCTGTTCAAAAATCTATCGACATTGTTCAAAAAAGCATCGAAAGTATCCACAAATCTATCGAAACTAGCGCTCAAAAGCCTGAAAATAGTCCACAAGTTGAAGTTCCAGTTGAACAGCCAAAATCAGTCACAGAAAAAGAAATTTCAGTCGAAAAACCAAATGTTGTTCCTGATGTTAATATGCGTCGTGATATTTATCCAAATTTGCCGCCATCAGCTCCAGTCATTCCAGAGACATCACAAGCAAATTTGAATGCTGCACGCTTGTCTCAAATTATTAATAATAACAAGCCACAGCAGAAATTTGAACCTGCTGTTGTCGTTTATGACCCAAACCCAAAAATTAATTCAGCTGTTCATACGATGATGAATATGGGATTCTCTAATGAAGGTAATTCAGTGTGATTCATAATGAAAACTTATCAGGTATTAATCTATCGACATTTTTTAGATAACTGGCTTACTCAGCTCTTGATAAATGTGGATGGTGACATCGCAAAAGCTCTTAATTTTTTGACACCCCAACCAAAAAATAGAAAGCAGTGAATCATAGACGATTGAAGCGTGATATATAACTGAGTGTATACTGATAATATACTTATTTTATTAATCGGTGATGGAAAACTTTTCAATTTGATGGAAATGAGGAAAATAATTTTAATCAATTAATTTAACCAATGTATGACACTTTATATCCAATATTGCAATAAAAAGGTTTAATTCAAGCAGAAAATCATCAGAATCTTAATTTACATTTTATTCGCTACTTATTTGGAACAGTTCCAGACTTACCAAAATTTAAGGATCAATATCAATAATCAGAATTCCAGTCATATTAAATGAATAAGTTTATCTTGATGTTCACTTTGACAACAGATATTTGATGATTCATGGTGAAAATACTCTCAAAATCTATCTTAACAATACGAGTAGTTGTTATGCAAACATTTCGTGATCGTGGACGTACGTCACGACTCAATTAAGAATAGTCCAAAGTCAATATGGATCTACACTCTTTAAATTTAATTATTTTGGCTAGGGGAGACGTTCTCACACAAAGTTCTCAACTTTATCTTGAATCTTGCATTCCAAGTTTTTTGATGTATATTTAATCACTCATATTTATCGCACAGATCAATTCTGCTGAAATTAATGCTTTATAAAGAAATAAGAATCGACTGAAAGTGTTGATATCCTTTTGCCTGACGTTGGAGAGATTATTGATAGATCTATGGGTGTTGATAGAATAGAATAGAATGTAATGTAAGGTTTTGCTCATAGAAAAAGCGGCACTGCGATCGATGATCTGTTGTACCATCCCAAGTCCCCTATGCTAGAATTCCAATTTCCTTAATAAAGCCAATAATGTCCTGATAATGCTGCTTATTTATATCCTCATCATTCAAATAGTCCTCATCAAAATGCTTGACACGTTGTCCTCGTAACGACCTACATCTACAAAGTATATGAATGATTGTTTCTTTATTCACATTACAAAATCTGCAAATTTTACTGTTAGACAAATTCAATTTAAAAAGAAAACTGTTGATACTCATGTGTCCTGTCAAAGCACCAATTAAGATCCTAAGGCATTTCCTTGATAGTCTGAGAGCATCCGATATTTTATTCTTATTTTTAGGACCAAGAAGTCTTTTGGCTGTCATGGCTCCTTCCTCTAAATTCCAGATACGAAAATGCTGTCTCTCCATCAATTCTCGTATGTTTGACTTCAACAAGCCAAAACCATAGTGCGTCGACTTGTCATAAGCTTCCTTGTGTACTGCTTCTTTAGCTAGTTGATCAGATGTTTCATATGAGCTGCAGCTTTGATTCTCACTCGAAGTGGGGGAAGCTCAAGAAATCTATCCAAAGCCAGTTTTGGAGTAGTTTTTCAAACACCGCAAATTGACAATTCTGCTATTCTTTGCAGTTTCTCAATTTTCTGAGAGACAAAAACTTGTTTCATTTTATGTCACCAAACAACACATCCATACATAATTCGTGGTAGAATAACTTGCTCATACAGCCAATACATCATATTGGGTTTTAATCCCCAGTTTTTACCAACAATTGATCTATAAGCCCAAAAGGACTTAATCACCTTACTTACAACGAAATCTACATGCAAATTCCAGTTTAATTTGCTGTCCAAGTAGACACCAAGATACATTGCTTCATAACTGAATTCTATTCTTTGACCATACATAACTGGAGGACGTTGCTCACCTAATTTATGCTTCGTAGTGAAAGGAATTACAATTGTTTTGGCTAGATTTACTGATAAACCAACTTCATCTCAAAAACCTTCCACAATGTTTAAAGACCTTTGAAAAACATCTAACACTGTGTTAGTAAATTTACCTTTTACTAAAATAAAAATATCATCAGCATAACCTTGGGCAAAGATGCCCCCTGAACCATTTAGATCAACCAATAAATCATCAATAACCAATGACCACAACAGGCAAAACAAGTTGCCGCCCTGTGGTGTACCACGTTTCACTATGATGAACACAACTTCACCGTTCAATGATGTGTGAACGATTCTCGATCTAAGCATGTTGCTGATCCACTGTATCATTCTTTGTGGAACTCCTCTACGATATAAGGCATTTGTGATTACATCGAAGCCAGTGTTGTCGAAAGCACCTTCAATATCAATGAGGCCTCCCACCATAAATTCCTTGTCGAAGAAACGCTTTTCGATTTTAGAAACAATACTATGTAAGGCAGCATCTGTCGATTTACCAGATTGATAAGCAAACTGATACTTAGACAAAGCCTATTTGACAGAATTTCATCCCTTATACATCGATCAACTAATTTTTCCAAAACCTTTAATAGGAATGACATCAGACTGATAGGTCTACTTCTCCATGATTTTGGAATGTACCCTGTATCCAGACTGTACCTAAATAAACTGAGTAGATAAGGCATCAACTGACCTAAGCCTCTTTGTAAGAGCACAGGAAAGATACCATCCTCTCCTGCCGACTTAAAAGACTTCACCAGGCAAAAAAGTACCCAGCTCACTATAGTCCATTGAATCATCAACTATTGTTGATCCAGGAAAATGAGCACTCAAAAGTAGCTGAAGACATTCACTACTGCTATGAGTAAAGTCCCGTCCTGCTTCTTGAGTGCACCGATTGTTCTATCTGCATTTCTCTGGGCCATTAATTTGTGAATCCTTGCGCAGTCCTCAAACCGTTCAATTTCTTCACATTTATTTTTCCACGAATCAAGTGCTGCTTCCTTAACAGAAGTACTGTACCTGTTTAGTGATTCCTTATAGCCAGATCGCAATGAAGCTTCAGCTATGCTAAAACCTTGTCTTACTAGCTTTTTACTTTTATTCCACTTTCTTCTTCCAGCCTTTCTCATCTTATCCAACTCTGAATTATAAAAAAAAAAAAAAAAAAAAAAACCTTTACCTATTCAGATCAATTGTGATCCAGAGGTGCGCTAGGGCGATTCGCAGCTAATGAGAGTTTAACGAGTGAGGATGCGCCAAACCACTGCACTCAAACCTAGACCTACAATTTATAGTGGGATCCGAACCACTCCTTTGATGACATTTCTGTCTGTAGCCTACAAAGGAAGGCTGTGAGCCTCATTCCCAGTACATATGATTCGAAAAAGAACAAGTGAAAAATTTCCCATACCCAGTCTCGAACCCATGATCGCTGTGTCGGTATTGCAATAATTAGGTACCGAAGTACTAAACCATTCCGCCACCGAGCCACTTCAGCTCACAAACTCTGAATTATACCAAATGCAAAATGGCTTCATTCGAATTTCTAGAAAGACGCTCACCGTGATGAAATGTTCCAATTTAAACCATTTAAATACTCAATCAAGCTGCATTTATAACCAATCCAGTCAGTGTTTCTCGGGTTTTTAAAACCCTCCCCAGCAGATTCACTTGACATTACTACAAAAGTAATATATCTATGGTCCGAAAGGGATGGCTCATCTGAAACTCTCCAATCACTCACTGCATTGCATATACTTCTATTGGAAAATGTGATATCAATCACATCCTGTCTAATGCTGTTGCTGAAAGTAGGTTCATTACCTTCATTCAAAACAATCAATTCCTTAATAAGCAGAAATTCCATTAGGCTCTCCCCTCTTTTGTTGGTATCGCTGGGTGTTGATAACACGGAACGATTATTGGCTGCATATCACATTGCAACTCATTAAAATTCATCAGCAACATAAGCATAAACAGATATTTAGATAAAAATCTTAAATAAACAATTTTTATTTGACTGAAAACTAAGCAGAATCATTAAAATATTCATTAAGTTCGCTTGCTTTTTTGCATAAGAGATAAAATTGATGTCTGTATCTTTTCAGCTTCCTTCAGTTCCGTCTCTAATTCCGATATTCTTTTTTGCTTCTGTATTATTTCATTTTCATTTAATTTGATCACTTCCTGTAACTTAGCTTGTTCCTTTTCAGCACTTTTTGTGACTCTTTTTTGTTCAGCTAGTGCACTTGACACTTGCGATTCTCGCAAGCTCTTTTCTTCCTCTAAACTTTGCTTCAATTGTTGTATGCGGGTTTCCTGAAATGAAATTTTGGTCATAAAGAAAATTGTTAATAATAAGGCAAGTTATTCTTACATTTTCCTTCTGTGCATGTCTGAACTTTTGCTTTTCTGTCTCCATTGCTGCCTTTTCTACTCTGAACTCTACAAAAAGGAAACGAATTAATATCTGAAATTGCATGAGCATGACATTTCAACTTACTCTCAATTTCCTTGTTCTTAATAGCGATCTGTTTAGATAGCTGAGAAGTTTTCGAGCTTTCCTTTTCAACCTTGTTTCTAAAGGATTCAATTGTGTGTCCCAGATGCAAATTTTCTGATTCCAATTTAAGATTAACTTTCATGGCATTTTCAATGTCAAGTTGCATGCTCCAATTAACAACTTCCTGCTTATCTCCTAATCTCCTTAATATACAATTTTGTTGTTGTGCCTTATTATACAGATCGGCATATGTGTTGAGAGAATCACTTATTGTCGTCAAATGATCTTGCAGATAATTGTTCTTTTGACGATACAATGAGATCACATCAGATGCCTTTAATCCATTATAGTCATTATTGTCTAATTTTTGATTAATTCTCTTAATAAGACCGTCTAAGTCGTCCAACAAATGTCTTGTGATGTATTTGGATGAGAATTTAGATTCTGGTCGATTATTGACTTCTTTATATGTCACTTGATCATGATTGCCATAAACATTTTTGGATAAAAGCTGTGCGACTTTAGTATTTGGAAATTTCTCCATCGAAGTCAAACTAAAGAGAATCGTGAGAATTTCTTCATTCTTCAGCATGTATGCTTTGGCTACAACGTATGGGATTATACTTTGATCGAATAATTTGTCTAAGAAGTCTCTAAATAAGCTGGAATCTTTCGATAGCACATTAAGTGTTTGAAGGGAATATACAAGAAGTAAAATAGCATCCTCGTTGATGTTTTCAGTCGTCATGCTGTCAAATATGCTGAGAATATTTTCCATATACTCGAAAGCTGGTTTCAAATGAGTTTTATTAAGCTTGCTGTTCTGATGCAGAATTTTAAGGAATTTGAGAAACTCAAATTTCTGAAAATGGATAGAGATATAGACGCAAGCAATGAATTGAATAGAATAGTCATCTTACCTCACTATTTCCAATTACTTTTGGACTAATATCGCAGTTATTATTATAATAATCAATGATTGACTCGACAGTCCTGTCCATAGAATCAAATGTTCCGCCGTATGTTATAAAATTGGACAGGAATTTAAGTCCGCAAGCAGATCTTGTATAATGTGGATGTTCAAAAATGTTAAGTGTCAAGTTTACAAAATGATGAGCTAAATTATTGTCAAAATTAAGGAGTTGGCTATAAAAATCAAATATATTCTCTATAAATTCCCTTTTGAGCTCGCTGGATGTGTCATTGCCGAAATGATTGATCATTTTTTGATTAAGTTCTTCAAGAATTCCCATTAAATCTTCCATTTCTGTCAAATTAACTTCACTTTTACACAGCTTCTTGACATATTTGAATATGTCTATGCTGTGAACAACAGGATCCGAATCTAGCAAGGGCAGCGCTTCCTTGATGCTCTTCAAGCTTAATTTAATTAATGGAATGATTTCTTTTGCATTGAATTCTTCCAATACGATGATTAAGAACTTTGCAGAAATCAGATCATCACCCTTATCCAGCTTATTTTCAACATCTGTAATCTTGATGCTTTTGCTAATTAGATATTTGGCACTTTCGTTGTGCATAGCTAGATTTACTAAAATGTGCATCGACAGTTTTGAGACTCTTTTATCATTGAAATTCTCGGTAAGATCACGCAATGATTCTACAAATACTTTTAAATTGTGCTCATCCAGTTCATAATTGAACTTAATTATGTTCTTAATTAGAGTTAAGAGCTTGATCAGGCTGTCACAACAATCATTCACGAACCACAAAAGTTTAGTTGTTGCTGGAAGGAAGTTTATGTCCTGGATGATTTTCATTATAGATTTGTTCCTTGAATTTATTGATATCTGGAGAAGATCTATACAATTGGCGACAACTGGCGATTTATTATCACTTGTCTGGTTCAGTATATTGTAGATATTGGATATCAAATTGTAAGATTCAAAAGAATTGAAATCTACGTCTTCATTTATGTTTTGTTGAATTAGAAATAGCTTATTCTTGATAGCTACATCATTTGCAGAGGACATAAAGTTTGTGCTGCTTACTAATTTGTTGAATTCGATAATATATTGATGAATTAATGACATGTTTGCTGAATCTGTAAATATCAATAGATTTACGTCTTACTCGAACTTTTTCTGACTGATCACTGACTTATCTACTTTATTAGCTTGTTAATATGTTGGGAAACTTCTTGTATACGCCGTAAAGCTTAATTAAACTATTTTTGAGTTTTAAAACTTAATTTGACAGTTATTTTTTTGAATCAAAGTTGCATGACCCTTGTTTACTGAATTCAAATTTAAACAAATCGTTACGTACAAAAAAGTAAAAAAATTGCAGAATTTAAATTGATTGTTTTCAAAAACATTCACATTCAGTCATAAGCTAAAGTTGAATGCGGAAAGACGTGTGTTTGGTGTGCTCGTAAAAATTAATGAATTATATTAATAAATAGAAGAAAGTTGAATGATTCAATGTCAATAAGAAAAGAAAAGATGTGAAAATAGTAAGAAAATGTCATGTTAAATAAATTAAATTAATACAAAGCAAATTTAGAAAAGGAATAAGGAAGAATGTGAAGTGTTTGTGAAAGAATCATCAAATGTGCATTGCGAGATATTTTTAATTGTATCAAGAAGTAGAGGAAAAGTGAAAAATAAAAATATTTAAAGTGTACAAAAATGAAGTTGAATGTGCTGACTTTTACGATATTATTCGCGTTTATAAGCGAATCATATTCAGAAACGACTAGACAATCGAACACTAAGAAAGTGATAATTACGAAATGTTGCAGAATAGGTGATTTATTAAATATTGAGGGAGTTTGTGAGCCTGCATTGGGAAGTTTGATTTGGGCACCAAAAGTCTTTTTGCCAAAGAAAAGGACGTTCTATGAAAAGCCTGGTTTACTTCCTTCATTTTTTAACGTTAAGGAAGAAGTTCGACCGAATTGTAATGCACCAGAATTCTTTAAGAGCACTGATGTCTACATCGTCGGCAATGGATCAATTTATCTAAAGAACAAACATATCACAATTGAGAATTTCGAGAGCTTTTGTGTCGATCAAGATTTTAGTTTAGTATGCCGCAACGATCAAGAATTAGTGCCTGATAATATGACGACGACAGTAAAGTTAACAAAATGTTGCGGACCGAACGAAATATATGCGTCGAGTTCGTGTATTGGAGCAAACAACAAAAGTGGTGATCCGTTATTCAATCCCAATGACGACGGACTTAAAATGAAAATTGATTTCGACTACAAGTTTCCAGACTGCGATGGTTCTAATGAGTTTGCTATTGCTGGCCCATTTTTGAGTTCTAATTTCGATATGAGTTCAGGTCATGTGAAAACGGAATCCGGAAAAATATTCCAACGAGAACAATACTGCCTAGATCATGTCATCGCTAATGATAATAATTATGAAGGTGTTAAAATTTTTACATGCTCCGAACATTACAGTACAATTCCACCTAATTTGAATCATCATCAAGACGATACGCGCTTTGCTATTTACTCAATTGGCCTGCTTATATCCGTTTTGTTTCTGATTGCAACACTCGCCGTGGGATTTTTACTTTTATCGAATCATCATATGCTTCACTGGCGATGTCAGACGAATTACGTGATTTGTTTGTTGATCGGTGACTTATTATTGGCCATAACACAAATATCCGGAACGAGTCTTCATGGACCTTCTTGCGTAATTATTGCTCATTTAATGCATTTCTTCTTCCTAGCCACATTCTTTTGGCTTAACACTATGTGTTTCAACATTTGGTGGACGTTTCGGTAAGTAGAAAATAAAAAACGAAAGTCTGAGAACTCGAATCGCATTTCCCTAATTCTCTCATTCCTTTGTTTTACATTATTATTGCTTCTTCATTCACATACATTTTGCGTGTGTAATATATTACGAGATAACTGTGTAAATATAGTTCTTAGCATTCTTTGTCCCTTCCCATGTTCTCTCATCTCATTTTGTCTGATTTATTATTATTGAAAAAAAAAATCTCGGAGCTAATTAGTCTGAACAGAAATAATCAGTGAAAAATGCGTTATAAGCTGTATTTACGTAAAATCGTTCTAAAGCTGACATTATTAGTAATTTTCTCATTTAATAACGCAATTTCTAGTATAATCCCTTACGAGAATAGACGAAAGAAGTGAGAAACTATGTTATGTGCTTACTCACTTACTAGATCTATTATTGTGAGTGAGTGAAGGGGGACAGATGGTTTACCGAGCATCTGTTATTTCTTATACTCTCTCACTTTTTTTTTATTTTAGCTCTTTTTTCATTGATGACAGTAACAAAACAACATTATTCAATTTTGTCTTGTACGGAATTTCATTTTTATTAATGTTCACAATTCGACCTTGAATTAGATTTGCTATTAAAATAGATCGGCTCAGTAAGACATACAAGAAAGGGCCGTGTATTAATTCATTCTTGACATTTCTCAGTCTATTAATCTATCTAGTCGAAAATTACATATCATTAACAAGCGCGCGCAAAGTTAAAACTCATTTATTGACACATTTTTCACCACCATACAATTACTTAATGTTGTAAAAAAGATTGCACGAGTCAAGATCATTCACATTTTCGTACATGTAGAGCTATTAATATTATGCCTGAATGAAAATAATTATCTGCGTGCGCGATCTAACATTTGGAAATACCATCATCACTGAACGACTCCTACGCCGTTGAGTTGAGATTGTGATCAAGAGATGAAATTAAAAGAAAAAAATTTATTATTTTTTTTCCTCATAGTTAATTCGGAATACTTTTCAATCATTACATGTCTCATAATAAGTGGAGAACCTTGAATGTTGTTTTATTTTTATTGGATAGAAGGCAAAGAAGAAAAAATAAATGTTTGAAATATTTTTAAATAAAAAAATATAAGAATATATGTTTGGGAATAAATTTTATATAAACTCATTCACTTGTGTAGAAGTTGTAGAAAATTAAATGAATTGAAATATGAGAGGCGTCTGTTTAATTCTTCTTAAATTACGTACTTCATCCCATTGCCTAAACAAAAACTACACGACACAACAAAGTAATAAAACTAGTGGTAAAGTCGCTTTTCCTGTGTCTTGAGTGATCAATCTATGCGCATTTAGGTTTAGATATTTGTGAAATCTTCAAAAACCCTACAAATGAGTGTTCCAAAACTATATAAATATATAAAATTTTAAAGTCTTACAACAGCCTAAACATTTGTAAGGCTTTCGGAGCAATTTTCTATATGACATACAAATAGCCTCCCAAAGTGTGGCACATTATCCCAAAATTAAGTAATGAAAAAATGAAGGAACGTCGAAACTCTCACTCGAACTTTGAGGCTTTCACTTTTTTGACGCTTCACAACAATTGTGGTTCATCAATAGTTCTGACATTCGGACAATCTCATCTATCTCATTTTTCCTGATGTGTATCTGATGGACGAGAGTTGAGATTTCTAAAACATGAAACTTTTCATGCCTATTAATCGTAAAAAGCCTTAACATTTTCATCGTTTCTATTGTGTACTGACTGTGTTCGATGCACTCTCTAAGATAAATATTGTATGTTTGCCACAATTTGTCCATCAATCTGTTTTTGAATCTATATCTATGTCTGCCAGGCATTGGGCTAGTTTATAAAATCATTGTTGACATCCAAAACGAGCAACAAGCATGCATCTATGCTCTAATCCATCAAACAGATCATTTTAATTTTTCACATTTAGATCTGATGGATTTGTGGTCAGAATGACTTTAATAGCTGTTGGAAAATCAAAATCAATTAATATCAAGGCATAAAGATATTTTCTAATTTTTTGAAACAAATCTGTTCGTGTACATTCCAATTTGCGAAAAAAATATAATTAAAAATTAGACAATAAGCCTCACAGATGTTGTTATTAAGTAAATTCATCACCCATTGAGCTATGATTACTTTCACTGTGAAGTTGTTAGATTCAGCAAGATTCGTGAAAATATTTAAAAACTTTTTATATTTTGCAATTTAGCCGGCAATAAAGCTGTTTCGGATTACAGAGTCATTTTATCGCAAATAATGATGATTTTATATCATTTTCATAATTCCGCTCATTGAATTCTTTCATTTGATTCATAATAATACATGTTTATCAGTTGTACGTGTGGTAACGAATCAATTTTCATGTAGCTATCATGTTTCTTTCAATTTTCATGGGATTCACTGAGAATCATGACTAATAAAAAAATATATGATACGGTCTCTGCCTTATTAGGTAAACGACCTACAATGAGCAACTCTCAACAAATCAATTATTTGACACAAAATGTATGTGAATGGAATTTGTCAGTCTGCTTTAATAGGATTAATAAAATAAAATATACATTTCTTTTGACTCTCAATTGAATGTAGATTGTGAATATTAAAAGGTCTAGCGAACAGTCGACACTATCCTTAAGAGAACTGGATTTGGTGAATATTGGTATTTAGGATACACATACCATTACGCGTTCAAGACATTTTAGTGCCTTAAAAATTTCAATTGCTCTCAATTATTAACAATACAGAGAGAAACATTGTGACGAATATGAGAGACAATGTCCTACCTTCATATTCGGGTTTTAAACTTTTATTTTTGACACAGGTCTTTTGTGATTAACCCCAAATCCACGCCAATCTACATAATTTTTTTGAGAGGACAAAAATGCTTCCGGCATTGCACAATGCTTACCTCATTCAAATGTGTGTGAAAAAGTACACGTAACAAATTTTAAGTTACTAGCGAGAAAACTGCTGATTTAGCACTCATAGTCATTAATGATCTACACAAGCGCTGAGTTGCTTTTAGCTGAAATGAAAACAAAAATTCCATTGACACTCAATTATAAATTCAAAATCAATTTTAAGAAAAAATAAATAAAATATTTCTCGATATTCTGTAGTCATTCAATCAAATATAAACAAGATTTGAGTGCGATAATTTAATAGCGAAAGGCATTTAAGTGTTTATATTCGTTATGTCTTGTACAAGCCGATGGATATATAACAAAATTCTTTATTATTTTTTGCTGCTTTGTTATAATAAGTGCGGGTTGAACGCACATGATAAAGAGCATTAATTTTGTTTCTCACTTCTGTTACTAGCTGTATCGGAAATTGATGTTCATAAATTTTCATAAAATTACAATCGATATTCTCGATTGCACCCCTCTTACTCACAGCTATAGATATAAAATTTAAATCCCAAAATGCATGTACAAATGGGACAAGGGAATGAGAATGAAATGCGGTACGAACATCAATATAATGTAATTAATGATAACGCAACTCATGATTTATTATAATCAAAATTGTATTTCTGTTATTTTCTCACGTTTTACAGAGATTTTAGACCAACATCGATGGAAAAATCGCAAGAATCACTCCGATTACGCATATATGAGGTATATGCATGGGGTATGCCAATTATTATAACAACAGTCGCAGCAGTTTTGGACAATTTACCTGAGAGTCCCACTGAAGCTTTTCTTCGACCGCGTTTTGGTGAAAATAAATGCTGGTTTTATGGTGAGTTTCTAATTTCTTTTATAAATCGCATTTCTTTCAGCTAAGGCAGTAATAATAAGCAATAGACGAAAAAAAATAAAACTTCAAAAAGTGTTTACATACAAAAAATCGTGTGTAAAAAAAGGCAAAAAGAAACCGAGTCATAAATACGCCATTTTCGCTATAAAATTGCAATTTAAGCCATAAATTTTTATTTTTTGCTTTTCTTTTACTGCCTTCCCTTCTAATTTAAATTGTTGCAGTATGTTCTTTCGTTCCTCTATATCTCATGTTCGCTGTTTTTATTTCTGCAAAATATCTATCCTCACACTATTGCCATTAAAAATTAGTCTGACAGTTGAATGCATAGATAGACTTCTTGCCTTCATAAGAATCTACAACAACAAACGCCGGCAAACAGCTCATAATCAAGCATGAAAATCGCCGATAAAGTTTCTAGCTGCGGTGATTATTGCGCATTTTTATGAAGTTTTGAGTGCATTTAAAATAATTTTGATTTTTTAAGAATTTTATATAATTTTGATTTTTTAAGGATTTTAAAATTCCTAAGGAGTGTCAAGATAAAAAGAGCATAAATTTCAAAGTTTTGAAAGCAGTTAAATACAATAAATCTTAATTAAAATCATAAAAACCCAAAACGAACAGCAATTCGCACAACTTCACAGAAAACACGTAAAACTAAAAAGCAGGAAGAGAAAAAAAATATATTTTTACTGTCTTCTGAGTATTTTTGTTGCGCGGGAAACCGTCGAGCGAAAAAAGAATAACAACCGGAGTGTGTTACTCATAGTACGGCAGGAAAAAAGAAGTAAACGAGAAGGAAACTTATAAGAAATTGAATCTTTCGCGATAAGTTTTTTTTAAAAACTGGTTTTCCTTTTCAAAAAACAAAAAAAAAAGGATGAACATGAAGTATTTCTTGTGTGCTGTAGAAAAGTAAAAGAAACAAAAACACTTTCTCATGGATGTTCAGTTCTATTCTTTGTCTGACATCTTCTTCTTCGTCTTTATTGCTGCTGCTGATGATAAAGAATTGTTTTAATGATTTTTCTTTAATTTCATCATTCCTTCTTAACATATTTGAGTTGTTTGCTATAGACAAAAAGAGTGAGTGTGAGAGAGAGGGAGAGAGAAGTCGAATCAAGAATTCTACTTGAAATAAGATCATAAATTCTATTCTGTATTTCCCTTTCGTCTCGTTCTTATTCTTATTTTTCATTTTTCTTCTTCTGTTACTTGATAGATTTCTCTTTCGATGCTTTGTTGCTTTTCTGCGATCTAGCGTAAACACACTATTAAACACATTGCTCCGATTGCTTATACATAATCTGCCGTATGTATATAGACTTTATATTTTGCCATCAGCTTCATTATAGGAGTCTTCTAAGAATAAATATAAGAAATATATATCTTCAACTTGATCGCTTTTGCTTCTTCGTTATAATTCTTATTTGCCTTCTCCTCTTTCCCTATTTTTTTTTTGTTATACCTCAAGCGTTTTCCGCGAAATTGAGGTAGTAATGCTCTCAGTTTGACTAATTGACTGATCAAATTTTTAATTGGTCTGATCGATGTTGTACAATTTTTTTTCTGCTATAATCCGAAACGATAGAAAGTTAATTCCATTGTTATGTGATGGAGCTCGCTATTCAACGCATTGATTACATTAAAATTTCATTAATTTTCAACAATCAAAATATAAACATGATTTTTTGTGGCATCAGCAGTCATGAATATTAAAATTATTAAATTTTGTTAAATTTTATGCTCGGTCGTTTATGGGAAACAATAAAATTGATCGTTTGAAAGTCGCAATTTCATCATTCGTGCACAAAACTACTTTTTGTTACCATCCACGAATATCTTTGTTTTTTCAACATCTCCAATTATTATTATTTTCTTATATATCCATTTCTTTGTCTCCATCGTTCCTTTCATTTTTATATTATTTTTATTTTCTTTTACTCGATGAAGCTCGCAGATTTGTGTAAGCAAAGAAGGTACAAGAGGAGGCAGAATAAGTTAGCATTATTGTCTTATGTCTTTTCATACTCTGTTTTTAAATAAATGCATGGATGAATGAATGGAAATGAGTGTGTATATATATTGTATTTGAGAGGTCATTAGCAACTTGATCAGAGGTAAATGTTTATGGCAAAAAAAGAAAGAAAAAGAGAAATGAAAAGAATATTTTTAGTTCTTCTGATGGCGATGATCATTGGTAGATAGCAGTAGATAGGATGTCTAGCTGCGTACTTTTTGACGGGACACTTTTAGAGTATTGGGTAAATTTATTTGTCTTGTTTCGGACATTAAATAACTTGTTATTTAAGTTCCTTCTTCGTTCGATTTCCATTAATTGTATTGTTCGAATCACTCAGGAAGTTCAATATAACCTAGAAGTCGTTCACAAATGGGCTTATTGATCTTATAGACAGTTGTTGTTGACGGTCTCAAATAATTGTGTTTGAAACCAAAAGCTTTAAATCAGCGTGTCTCAAAATCTAAGGTTTTGGTGACACAAGTGTCTCCCAGAACACAATTTGAGTAGCACGGCTCTCTACATAGCCCAAAGACATGTTCCTTAAGACATGACTCTCTAGCCACATTAACAATAATAATCATCATGAGCAAGTGTGTCCCGTAAGGCAAAATTTGATTATTTCATTTCCACATTTAGAAATAGATTGGCGGATGAAGATCATCATCACGAGAATTAACTCAATTTTTACTTAATGCTCATTGTTATTACAACTCTATGAAATTCTTGCACGAAAATAATAAAAAGGCTTGCTTGCGTTAACCGTAAAAAAACAAACGGAACATGCATATTTGGCATGTTGAATGTCGATCGATTTTTTTTTATTATTATATAAGTATTCTCACTCTGTCTCTAATTTCCGCTATGAAATTTAATAGGAAAGAATTTATAAAGTTCATACTTCATACCATGCAGCAATAATTGAAACGTACTTCAATCTATAAATTATTTTTTCTCTCACTTTTCGAGCATTTTACGTATTGATAGTTTCTCATTGACTTTACCGTTTGCTTTATTTTCTAAGAAATAAAATTTCTATACTGCTTTCATGGGCTGCGGCTGCTTTCTTTCAATTCTCACATACATTTTTTTTTCGCCAATATCATCGACTCAATTTCAATCGGTAGTTTGATGTTTATTCAACAATAAATTCTCATGAAAATATTGCGAAATAATAAATTTCATAATGTAAAGAGTCTCTGCTTAATATATTCACTAATGTGTCTGGCAGGATGAAAATGGCCTAACGTGTGTATATTTTATGAGGTGAGACTTAAAAGATTGGAAATTAAAAAAAATTATTATTATAAAGTAGTTTATTTTTGGGAACTTCATTGTCAGCAAAATTAACATGAGTACGAAAACAAGAGAAAGAAGAAGTAGAGATTTTGTGTGTGGTATGTTCCTCGGAATACGTAAAAAAGACAGAAAGAGATTCCATATAGAGTAAGCACGAATGAAGTAAGCAGTCAGTAGATGAATAACCGATGCAGTATGTGTATGATGAAAAAGGAATTCCAACCCATTTGATTGTTGAGGGTGTAAATGACACTTTAAAAGTCTGTAGATATATTATGAGCTTGTGCTGTATGTATATATGGTGAACAATTTAAAGCACACTGAACTTCTTCGTATCTCTATCTCTGTTCTCTGTTCAAACACAATTTTATTTTTATTATACACGAAGGACATAAATTCATCGATGATGTATAATTCTCCATAAATGTTACTGCCTATTAAGGAATTCTTAAGTATTCAACTTGTCCTTCAAATTTGCATCAGTTGACTCATGTTTTTTGCATCATTTAAGTCAATACTTCAAAATCTCGCGTCAAAGATGCAAACTTAAATATTGTTTTGCATCTTTTTATTCGAATTCATGAATTTTTTCTGCCTCAATTGATGCAAAACCCAAAAATGTTACACAGCATTGAGCGATTCGCCCCACAAGCCTGGTCGGCAGCTATGACTTTCTTTTGATTAATATTTTATCAAAATCAATGTGACACACCACTAGTGCATATAAAAGCTGTTAATATTTGAGTATAATGAAAGTGCCTCTTATATAAAATGCCTCCTTATCAATTTTAAACAAGTCTGTGTCGATGTCTACGTCTGTGCCTCTATGTCTATTATTCTCCATATCCACATACAAATTGCTTTTTACACATTTTAAGCCTTTACCTTTTGCCTGCTTTATGCCTCATGTATTCGTATGTTTAATCATCATGATGACGGCTCTGAGACATACAGACATTGCCAGTAAACAAAAAAGGTGTCAATAATTTTCATTTTAAAAGAAATTTTTATTCCTTCCTTCTCTTTATCGTCTTTCTTTTCCACATTTCATGTATTAATGTATATCTTGAGCAGACCAAAAAGTTTAAAATTGAAGATGAAAGACATATCACATGTTTTCCTCAACTAAATTGTAATCTACACATGATGCATGTACGTACAGTAGCAAGTTGATGGAATGTCTGTTTGATTTGTCGATACGGGCACGTATGTTAAAAGCATTTTGAATTTTCGAGTAATTAGTTAATTTAAATAATGAATAAATGTGTTTACTTCCTTGTTCGGGAGCTAGGCTAGCTCGCAATCATTCTATTTAGTCGAAAGTAAACAAATGAGGAAAAATTGCTGAGAATGTGAAGAATTAGTCAAAGAAGTAAAAATTATTTTTCTGCACATTATTCTAGTTTTTTTATAACTCAATTTTAATAGTTTTGAAAGAAGTTTGGGTTTTTGTGAATTACCTGGTGTCGCAAAACACATTTCCTGAGCATCAATTTTTGAAAATACTTTTGAAAATGCGCCTTCGGAAGTCACAAGATAACAAGTTCATACCAGTTGCTTCTTCATTTCCTACGTTCGCATAAAAAAATGCTTACGATTGCCAATATTTTATAAATATGTATATGAACTCACCGACTCTCAAGTCGATCTCTTGCCACTGTGTGTAAGAAAAGCAGATTCAGAGACGTTTTTTTCTGCTTTATTTCACGCAAAAGAAAGGAAAAACTTTTAATAATTCTTTTTTCTTCGTCTCTCTTGTGGCTGAAAAACTGGTTCAATTTTGTTGTCACAATTTTCTTTTCACTCTTCACGATGCGATACTTTAAGTCATCAACAAATAGCACTTTGATGAATATATATGACTGTATGATGTGAGGTGAAAATATGACAAGTTTCCGTAATAAAAATAATTCCCATAAAGAAAATAAAAATAAAAAAAATTTTAGAAATTTATTTCCATGCGATGGCGTTGTTATGACATTGAATCTAAGATATAATTAACTATCTCAAACAGAGAAATTTCGTTGCGGTCTGGTCGCGATTTATGATAATTGATCGACTTCTTAGGTCAAGACTTTTTCTCGTTCCAGCTGAATGTTATTAATTAGTGAACAATTTTTCAATCAAACTCAATTTACTTTAATTTTAAACATCGTAAAATGTTCATTTACGATGTACCTGAAAAGTGTGGCAGGCAATCGTAAAACTTGCGCGATTTCAATCATTAAAGTAGCATGATCAGCACTAGGATTTAATTGAAATTTAAAATTAGCGTGGGGATTTTTTATGATCATTCTGATGGCTTTTTAAACGTCACTTGGATCCCTCGTAAATTTAAAAAAGATGCAAAATTTAATTCGTGCAGGAAATTTATTCTCATTTTAATCATCAATTCATGTGATGGGTCGTTTACTTATAATGTCTAGGCTTAGGTGAAGCTTCTTGTGGTCCATCTTCGTTCTCAAATTATCTAAATGTAGGTGATGTAGGCTTTATAGCTACATCCTTAGACATACCAAAGAATGCCAAAAGAATCCTATTTCACCATCAACGTCATTTTTAAATAATTCCCAAGTCAAAAAACGCGCATAAAACACGACTCTTTCGATTCAAACTCAAAAGTCACAAAACAATCACGATTTCGGAGTCAAAAAACTTGAAAAGCTATCATAACTTGCAGATCAAAACGACTTAACCACACCAGTAATCTCTCTTTAATCTCAAGTCCAACCAAACTAATGAGATTTCTTCATGGAGCGTCTCAATACCAGTCAATGAACAATGTACATGTCTCGAAACCTCTAATTTTAAATTAAATTACTTTCCTTAACTTATCATGAACATTTCTTGTAAAACATTTGGTGGATTTTGAGTAAATTAATTTTTTTTTCTCTTTTATTTTCTCTTGATCGGAAAGATGGGTTAAGTGGGAAAGCGCAAAAAGAGGCACAAATAATTTCTACTGGAAATAAAGAAAGAAAAAAAATACACGAAATTTCTCTCGAGATGGTCAAGTGGATTGTTTTCTTTGTATGCATGGTACTCATAATGAATGGTACTAACTTGCTTACATTAACTCTTTTTTTTCACATTTCTCAGACACGAAAGAGAAAAACCGACACGGCGAAATGATGATGAAATGCTATGAAGAGTGAGTAAGAGAGAGAAATTTACGCTTGATGGCACCATTTTTCCCCATACTCATTGTACTTTGTTTTGTTTTCACTTAAAAAATATGAAATACATGGCAGGAAAGTTATCTTAAGTGGATGAGGAAAAAAGTGCATTTTTTTGCTTCAAGTAGATGAATAATTTGAAGCATTTATGACTTCAAAAGTGTCTGTTGTATGTGGTTGCATTTAGAAAGCATGAACATGGAGTTGATGGGGTGTTTAACGAAAACTTGCATGCAAGTTAAGATAGCCTCGTATTCAAGTTAATATAGACGTGCATTCAAGTTGACTTAAAACTGTATTCAAGCAACGTACGTGCGTTTGCTTGATCTTGTCTCAAAATCATGTTTAATTAGAACTTGCATGCAAGTTACGTCTGTAATTTTACGTAAACTTGAATGCAACTTGCGTAAATGTTACACATAACATTTTTAAACTCATTCTAGCTCCTGACATTTCTTGCAGCACTAAAAGAACCTTCAAAGAATCAATGCCTCCTAAAATTAGCATAAACCGGCAGTTTAATGTTCGTCTTAAATTAAAAGCCCACGTTACGACACATTAATGCCGCAAATGATCTCAAATCTGCATAATTATCGTGTTGTCATTATCTTAACAAGCCTCCAAAAACCAAAATGAAAATAAAAGTTGCGACTTTGTTGTCATAAAATGCACAACAAATTTCTTCCTCCTCAGTGACTTTTTTTTAGTTCCCTCAGTGCAATTTGAGCTCTGAAACTTGAGTCTCACAAACAATTCGCATTTCTTTATGTTGTGACAATTTTTTGCTGTCATTATCACATTACTTTCTGTCGCAATGGAATTAAAGAAGGAAAAATAAAAATTTATGTCTTCAAAGCGAATTTTTCAAGGGCGAAGCTTAAACAACAGAATAAACAAATTTTTTCAGTAGAAATTAAAAATATTTTAAACTTTTTATTTTATTTTGACCACTTTCAGGTGACATGGAAATATTTGCGTACTTTTTCGGACCGATTGGAATTTTATTATGCATAAACATTCTGCTTTTCCTCTCGACCGCACGACAATTGACTTGTGGATTATGGAAGCAACAAGATGTAAAGTCAACGACGGAACGGTAAGATGATTATTTCATTTTAGTTTCTTTTGTTTTGTTCTGTTGTAAAATAAGAGGTTGAAAAAGAAAATGAGCAAAATCAGTATCCGTTACAGAGCCGCTTTGGGACGTGTCTGCATGAAGCTCGTAATTGTTATGGGAGTGACATGGATAATTGATGTGATTAGTTGGGCAGTCGGCGGACAGTACTATATTTGGTATGTTACTGACGTCATAAATGCACTTCAGGGACTCTTCATCTTTTTGGTTGTCGGACTTCAGCCACAGGTACGTTTATGTCTATTTTCTCTTTCTCTTCTTTTTGTCGACAAATGCTTGTTGGCTGCAGATAGCGTTGTTTTTATACACGCGATGTTATTGACTGCATTTTGTAATTTTGTTTAAAAATCCGTTATTATTTAAGATTTTGAAATTCTACGTCTACATCTATGCTTATCGGATTAAAGTGATGATTCTTACAGAAATTTTTCTAAAGACATCATACTTGACTCAGCAATTTACTCTTAAATAACATTGATGATGTAGCCAGTACTGCAGTAATGAGATGATGCATCGTCTATTTTAAGATGTTGTGAATCTTTTTATGACGCAAAAATTATTTAAGTACCTAAATGTGTCATAAAAAGCGCTTAATGTCTGAGATTAATTTACTTGCTGTCTGTTTATTGAATTCATCACTTTAAAATTCTTTTATTGCCTAAAACATTTCTCTTTCCCCAAAGATTCATCTTTTTTATGACCGTTCTCATTTACTTTATTTTTTTGTGTTCAGGTGTGGTCCGCACTTAAAAGATTTTGGAGCTCTCGATCGGGCGATCACCGAGTAACAGGTACAACGAATGGTCCACAACATTCGATATCGTCACACGGAATGCCATCCTTAGATGCCAGTGTAACAAATCAAACTACAAATTCCAAAGTTGAAACAATGTGCTAATCGTACACACTGAGATTGATTGGTGCCTGAATATTTATGTAACTTTTTATACTACATAAACTTTAAAACTCTTTTTACATGCCGTCAATGACCAAAAAACAAAACAAAGGAGATAACAAATGGAAAAGTATCACAGCAATTTTATTAATTGAAGTGATTCTTAATAGGAGAAACAAATTTGTATACAAAAGCAAGCATACACAAAAGTATAATAAAAGATACCAGCGACGACAACATACGTAAAATTGGATGTGACGACGACCTAAATCCATAAATACATATTAATTTATTGCACACAAATGTTTGCATGTACTGTGCGGTTACTTAAGTGCATTTTTAAGTATTAAAATATCTATTAACTTTCTCATATCATTCATTCGCTAATGCTACACATAACAAGCGCATCAATCAATCATTATTTTACTTGTTCAAATTAGTTTTTTCAATTTATATGTTGTGATAATTCGTAAAGTTTATTATCTTTCTGCTTCATCTTTTCACCATCATTTATTGACAAATAAGTAATGTTTAAGTTTCGTATTGATGCATATATGTATGTAATCTAGTAGTTTTTAAGTTTAAGGAATAAAATACAAGTATGTAGGCTTAACAAGTAGGAAAACAAATGAATAATGTTATCAAACCTTTTTTCTATGCCAAAATAATAATCCAATCCTGCCAACAATGTTTATTAGCTGATAGGGATAATGAGGGCACAGTTCATTTATGACGTCAATTTGGGGGGTTTTAATAAGTAATGATTTATGTCTTATTGTGGGGGGAGGGGGGGGGGGGGGTTCAAAATTCTCAATTTTTTATGGATGTTATAAGTGAACGACCCCAAAATAAATAAAACAATGTAAATTTTTTGTATTCGAGTCTTTTGTATCTCCTAAAATGAGCAAAAATGTGCTGTGGAAAGTTCGAAAGGCAGAGTCAATGAGTTTTGCTTGTTTTGTGAGTGTGCGAAGTGAATTTTTAAGCAACATATAAATTTTTGTATCTTGGAGTCATTTGTTGGTGATGTTTGATATTTATGGAGTACTAGGATTGTTGAAGGTTGTCAAATAAATCTCTAATCAGTGATAAAACGAAAAAATAAGTCAGAGTCGATTAAAAGTTTAATTTGGCATCCTGACAAGCCTTAAATCAATCCATAATAGCTTAATGATCAAAGCATGTGAACAAAATATCCAAAATCTGAAACTTTGATACACGTCACATGTAACTGACCTCTGAAAATAATCACCAAAATTACTCAATAGCTTTTTAAAAGAATTGGCATAAATTCAACGACCTTTAAAATATTTGAAAATTATGTTAATTTATGTGTAGATCACAAAGATCAAACAAATTATGCCTGATGAGCTTTAGAGCTACCAGTTTGACAAGCCTTTTGAACTCGACCATCGCTCAGACAAAACCAATAATAACACTTTTGATGATACTTAAAGAAATTTATTACATTTTTAAAGAAAAAATAAAATTTTTATACAAAAAAAAACTTTTTTGGGAATTTTTATAAGATTGAGAATAAAGGAAGGAGAAAGACTCAAAGAGAAAGTACTGCTAGCACAAAAAAGTATATAAACATTTTTTTAATGATAGTAAGCAGCTAAATTGACTGAAATACCAAAACAATAAAACGAATTAAGATGCTAAAAAATTAAAAATGAGAAAATTGTCTTTTTATTGTCTCTATATCAAATTCTTTGGTCTAATGACATGTCCATTTTCTTAATTGATAGTGAAGTGAGTTCGATCAGTGGCAATCCAAAGTGGTGGAGCAAAAAATTAATTGACCTTTCCCGTGATCGTGTCTAAGTTATTTTCGCTTTATGTCGTTGTTTTACTTTAATTACAGAGCAGCTTGTGGATGATTTTTTATTTTCAGGTATGCTGGATATAGATTGTATTGAATCTACTGGAGAATATAACCGTTTTTGGTGGTTTGAAATTTAAAACAATACAAATGTTTTAAATTTTATGTCAAAACCTTACGAATGTTTTTCAAATATATTAAATCTGTTAAAAATCATAATCTTTACCAATATCCTACTCTATTTCTCGTTTTGAGGTTAGTCAACAGACAATTGAGCGCATGAAATGAGGATTCCTAATTAATAATAAGTACATGAATCAACAAGCATTTCAATTTCTCAGTATTAACTACTAACCTTCACATGAGAAACAACTCTGTTTGCATTACGAATGTCTATCTGTATTTTATTTGTTCTGACATGCAACGCTAATTGATGACATTTTAACTTACAGGCACAGCACACACATCAATATTGATTATGATCATGATCATCTTACATTCTAGGGCGTTTTATTTACATTTTGATAACAAATTGAAATCAATAAATGTGTACAAGCATTCATTCCCGAAATCCCATTAAAAAGTTCCCGAAAACGAAATGACGATCGATTTGGGTCACCGCAAGCATTACGTTTATTAATTGAATTTTTATTGAAAATTGATGAAATCATTTAAAGAATTAATGAGGGAAGAAGATTATAATGATGACTGGTGATTATACTAAAGAAGTAGACATGGAAATGACTGTGCGAGGAAACACAAATGAATTAAATTCTTTCGATTCACAATAAAAAAATTTATATGAGAAATGATTTAATGAGGCTTAAGTGATGAAAATGTGTTGGAAATATTAATAAAATGAAACGTGATTAGAATTTTGAACAAATAAAATTTCCATAAATTTATTTATTTTTTTCTATCATAAGAGAAATCTCTATGGGACACATATGTGCACAGACAATGGACACACATTTTTTTCAGCACAACATATGTACAGTTTTTCTGCTCAACATGACTGATAAACGATTTATTTCATAATACTTTGAATGAAGTGCTAAAAAATGTTCCATGCTTGTGAGATTATTCTGATCTCACATGTTGAGATAGTTATGGCTGGAATTTGATGCACAAACAAAGAATATCTTTTTTGAATTTCTTTTTACACAAATGAACTTTTTTGTTGTTCCTGATAATGTGTTAATTAACGAAAAATTTTGTTAAATGATGCTTTTAGCGTTAAATTCTTGGAATAATTATAGTTTTATAAATGGAAATCATTCATTTATTTGTAAGGTTGCATTTGTAAGGTTGATGAGTGTAAAGAGTTTTAAAATTTGAAAATTATTGATAATTCTTCTAAGTTTTAATCAATATTCACTGAATTTGAAAAGATTTTGAGTCTTTTTGAACATTTCAAGTCAAGTTTTAAACATTTTTGACATATTAAAAACTTTAAATCAACAAATTTCAATTCCTCGAACAATGCGTCTTGTATCATCACTTCCAGAAACAAATTACCTCACTTTTTCCTCCACTGTATGAATGAATGAAATCCAGCTCGAATATTAAGCATGGCAAATATGTGTCAATTTTAATATAATCATTTATTGTTATTATGTATATGCCATGATAAATGACGAGAGGCATGCAGTCTAGTTATTTTTCCTCCTTCCTTCATTTAAATCTCTTTGCATTTACATCTGTCTGATATAAATACAATTCTTTCTCATCACAGCATGACTCTTTATGTTTTGTAAAAAATATTCATACTCAATTAGTAATTGATTGCGAATTCCCATTGTCAACATTCATTAAGGTATTGGGGTCTTTAAATATTTAGATCGCTTGTGGAGAGAGAGGAAGTAAATAAACTAAAGGATTAACTTCGTATCAACCTAAATATCTGCTTTTTATTTCAGTGAATGAAAAGCGTAATTTCACAGTTGTGATTTTCAAGTTCACGGTATGAGACACACTCGAATGCAAATTATAAAAAACCTTAAAAATCAAATATTATGGTTACCGATTTTTTTGACTGTGCTGACAAATTTTTTTCATGGATGCCATGCTAATTTGAATCGCATGGATTTGCAGAGCATTAACATAGTTTCTGCTCATATGCCATTTCTTCTTGGTTTAAGGCCGATTTCTTTTAGCTAAATGAACGATTTAAAGATAATTTAATTGAACAAATAATTAGCTATGCTACGTTAGATGTTCATCGTAGTGGAATTAATCTTTTTTGGGATGATTATCTTTTTTGGAAAATGTTTTGTTTTCTTATTTAATGTCTTTATTTTCTAAAGATAATTTTCATATTATCAAGAAAATTTCTTTTATAAATCTTTAAATATTGGAATACTCAGGGATTATGGGGAATTATGAATGTTGAAGCTTACTGGTCAAAAATGACAATGAAATGGTGTAGATTTTAAGTAGACCACAAATGAAGCTTAATTAAACATTTGTAAGATTTTGGAACACCATTTTAAATCAATTGAATGGTTTTTGAACATTTTACAAAACATTTGTATAGTTTTGATTCAAAAGTTGAGAAAAATTCAAATTTTAAAAATCTGGTAAAATTCAAAAATATTAAACCCGTTGTAAATTTAAAAAAATAATTTATTGAACAATTCAGCATCAATCTTCATTTCCTCAATGCACGTTGAATGAGTAGCTAATTTATTGCCTGCAATATTGAACCACAGCCAATTCAAACCGCATAACAGTTTAATAATTTATCATGATAATTTTCATACAATTAACACCAACATTTGTACAGTTTGAAGATCACTTAATAAATCATATTTAATTCCTTTCTCTTTGAGAAATTACAGAACCGTTTTTACGTCGACTAATTTCGACATATCCCATTTAAGAAGAGAAGTAAATCCATTTGTCATGTGCTACCGAATTCGCAAGACTCTGTCGTTGAAACACTTGGTTGAAAATTACTTACAATGACATTTATTACATACTTCTCTTTCTTATAATGTTGACCTTAATGCAACTCAACCGAATTCAGTATAAAGTCCTACCTAACCCAGCAAAAAATAATAATAATATTAAAAGTAATTTTGCCGACACAGCAAAGAGCTAGTTCGAGAGAATGCAAAATAGAATTCAAATTCTAATATGAGTGTAAAATAAAATCAGAAACAAAAGAGAAAAGAGAACACATAAGACACCGTTAAGTAAGAAGCAGCCAAAGTAAAATTATGAATCTGTTTGTTTTTAGCATTTCTTTCACGAAATTCTTCCGAATGATTCTCGTGAGTTTCTTTTGTGAGAAAAATATATTGTTAAGGTATAAAATTTAAAGTTTGAAGTGGTGGAACTGACGCTTTTCTAAGATTTACTCTAGTTTTTCAAATTTAAAATATTTTTAAATTTTAACACCTTTTCAAAGTTTGAATTCTGCATCATTGACGCGAAAAATTCAAAATTAATCAAACCGTTAGAAATGCCAAAATTCTTAATTCCAAATAATAATATGGAAGAACCCACAAATTATCCAAACAGAGTATGGTAGCTCTTCTAATTTGAGAATTACTGCCTTAAAAGTCTTCTTTAGTGCTCATTACTTTATAAAGTATAGGAATTATGAGAAAAGAAAGAAAAGAAAATTGTTGAAAAAGAATTTCTCTCTAACTGGATAATCTTTTAAAGACCTGCAAAATCCACTTCATACAGAACAGATATAGAAATATGAGATCTTTTATTCTACCTGCCATGACAATAAAAAGAGAATTTATCTTCAGATAATTTAGACATTTTCTTGGAGAATCGATTGTATGCATAGCTAATCACACGCCATAAACGGACAGAAGAACTATTTGACAGCATCAAATAATGCGAGTGTACCGATATGTCAATAAATCATTATTGATTCCAATGCTTACGGCATTTTTCATTCTTTTAACTCAACAAAATCTCTTTTTTTTTGTTTTTTATTACTTTTTCCAGCAAATCCAATTAAACTTCGATTTGGTTCTGATGTCCTACTATGTGTCTGAGTTATGTCTGTATATGCCAGACGTTGAGGGGTGCTTCAAAATTAGTAATCGAAAATACATGACTTGAATTTTATTCGATGTGAAAATTTTGTATTATTTCAAAAAGCATACGTCTAGTGCTTGTTGTGATCGATTCTGGTCCATTATTTATTCGGTAGTTTGCACTATTTTGAGAATTAAAGTTTTAAGAGAATTAAAGCAATCGATTTGTAGTGGGGCCGTTCACTTATTTCGTTATGCAAAAAAACGGCTTTTTTTCACATACCCCCCCCCCCCCCATGAACGTTCATAATTTATTTTATTTTGATAATTTTCAAATTTTTTTCGTGAACTTTTTTTAAAAGACAGATGACAGTTAGAACGTTACATACTTCTTGACACCCCCCCCCCCTCCCCTTTGTTACATTTTGTTACAATTTTTCAAACCCCACCTCCCCTAAAATGCGAACGTAATTACTGAACGGCCCATGTGTGAAACTTCGTTGTATGATTAAGTTTCAGACAATACAAAACATTCAAAATCAGCCTTATTCAAAAACAATTATCAATTGTAATTAAATTCTCAAATAACCATAAACATAAGCAATAATTACACACTAGACAATTCAAAGCTTCCTTATTGTATATCCTACAAATTCCCAATAACATCCAATCAACTTCGATTTCTGCACAAACGCTTCCTGAACGTGTTTATGTGGAAAATTTACATATCAAAGGTATATCCACGTTTGCTACTCATTGCGAAAAAGCATCAGGCAAAATGAAAAATAATTAATTAAATTGGCTAGCTAATTGAATCACAATGGAATGGAGGAAAAACCATAGGAGGAGCTACA